GGTCACTCACTTAGCGAAAGAAAGGGTAACATTTCTACTTTCAATCCTGATTTTAAATATGTACATCGCATTTCCTGATTGCGAGTTCAAAGCCACTGGCTTGTAAGCTTGAGCTTTACTACGTTTGAATTGTAAAGAAACCTCTGTAAAGGGGGAGATTATTTTTTGTTTAAAGTAATGAAAAGTGCCTTACACTAATCTTATATATTTAGTCAAAAAGAATTTGACCCATCTTGGCCCAAATCAGCTATCTTAAATTTAAATCATACATTGCTGCTTTTCTATAACATTCATGGTTGTATTACAAAATATTTGTATGGCTTGAAATACCATAAACTCCGATTTCAGAAAGACATTCATGATTTACCTTACCTTTTTCTCGCAGTGGAGCGACTTTTTCCCATCCATACTAAATCCCGCGCCGTCCATCAGATGGCTGCTTAGCTAATACCGCGCTGGCAGTGCCTTTGCATCTCTGCATCTATTCGGATTCGCGTCTATGAAATATTCATTCATTTGCAGCTCACTCCGGAGAATTGGTTCATGATGTTCTCTGCTGATACTTCAGCTCCTCCAGCTCCAGGTCCTGATTCTGTTTTTGCCGCAGTTTCCGCTCCTGGGCCCCAACTCATGCCTCGATTTATGAGCGCCCAGTGTGTGCTTTAATAGTTCGCAGCTGAATTAATTGGCTGCTGCGCCGGAGGCCCAAGATGAGCCGGCGATAGATCCGGCGCATATATTTACCATATATCTCGCACTTGCCATTAAAATAATTTAATCAAAATGTTGTTCAACCCTGCCCATTGCATCCCACGAGGCGCAGGCGAGATTTCGATAAAGTCGGATGGCTGTCGGGGAGATATATCTTTATAGAGCACATGTGCCGCCTGTCTTCGGGTGTGGCAGTCTGCCTGTGAGTGGGGAGCATAAATTTTAATCAATTCTTTGCTTACTTTTGCTATCTCTTGGCCGCACTTTGCCTTTTTATTTTATTTACTGCTCGGAGTGCGCCCCTCTCGAATTGGTATGCACTTTCCATTTTTAGACAAGTTTCGAGCGCGTATATTGACTTTGCGGCGGAGTTGGTTACCCTTGCTTGCGGCTGCTCGGCAGGAAAAATTATAAGTTTTTTAACCTTTTCCCAACAAATATGTTCTTGGAAACATTAAAAATTTGTATGAACACTTAAAGGGACTACTCTCAACGCACATCAGAAGGAATTGTATGGAAAAATGCCTTTTAGTTTCTGCGCATTGGATTGGAAGTTTATCACTCATACGTTCTGTTGCCGGTGAATTTTTATTTTAAATGAAATGGCGGGTCGTATGAGTAATTTTTACTGAAAGTTTAAGAACAACCCCGAAAAGTTAAAATACATCGAATTGGTTTAGAATTTATATAATGTGTAAATCTTACAAATATTTTAAAAAGATTTTGAAATGGAGTAAATATTTTTGGACTAACTTCAATTAAACTTATTATATCCGAAATATTAAGGAATAATCTATACTTTTTACTTTTACCTATACAATAGTTGTTTATTCCTATATGTTTGATCAGTTTTTTATTCCATTTCTCGTGACTTTGACTTTAAAGGATTTCCGAATTAACTCAAATTCTTATAACCCTAAAAAGATATTTCGAGTCAATATCAGTCCGAAATGATATTGTTTTTAGATTTAGGAAGCGTATTCCATCCTCATCGTCGGATAAGACATTATTGTTTACTTTTTACTGCGGGAAACTGCAGAATCCAGCTGATTGTAACGAAGGCAGATTAAAACTTATGCACACACTCAGCGCGGGACGGCAAGTTGGTATTTTCTGGGTCCGGAACTGGGGAGCGCGACTTAGACTGGCCCGTAATGTGAGCTGCGCTAGTTTTATGGCAGACAGACGGCAAATGGGTTACGGCAGCACCCGAGCCCAGTGACAATAAAAAATGTAGCTAACCGCCGCTGCCCCGGTCGAGGCATTGTAAATGCTTTATGAGCCTTCGGAGTGCCATAATTTTCACTTAATAATCCGTTGAGTAGCTGCCCGTGATTTGTGGCCATCCCGATTCGACCCGATTCGCCGGGAACTGAACAGCACAAAACAGGACAGGACAGCACGGAAAATAAAACAAGCGCGCCGAACAACAGTGTAATGAGCTGCGGGAGCGGTGGCCAAAACAATTTGAAAGTTTTTGCCAAAACATAATGTGTGGCTAATTTTATTTGTCGCCAATTGGGAGCGATGCCGCCGTCCGCCGTCCGCCTGACACACTAATTTATAGTGAGCCAGAGCCCCGGACCACCTGTTCCCGGCACTGTGCATCGCTTTTAGATACTCGTATTCCTGGGCCCCCGTCACCGAAGTCTGCGGAAAATATGGCAAAATAATAATGCGCAGCCACCGCCCTCGCCAGGCACAAAAAATATTTAATGACCAAATTGCACATGAAATTGCGCGCATAAACTAATTACCGCGGATAAAGTTTAACAAAGGCAGAGGGTTCTCTACGGTGTGGTGTTTCTATGCACTGAAAAAATTTTGGAAGCTACATTTAGGTTTTAATATTAATATATACGCTTTAAGAATATTTCTAGAAGAAACTGTAATTTATTTAATGGCAGAACAAAAATATATGTGCTGGATCCTTTAGGTTATTTACTGCTAAATTTTAGGTAATATTAGCCGCATTTAAGTTGCAAAATTAATATATTCTTTTTATAATATTCATTGAAAAACTGTGATTTATTTAAGGGTAGAAAATATATATGGGCTGGAATCATCCTTTAGGTCTTAATTCCTAAAATATTTAAAAGGTCATTATTAACTCAATTGGAAACATAAAAGGGAAATTACTCGCAAAACTGTATGCATATCCTAACATAAGGCTTGGAATTATTCTAAAAAATATAAAATATGTATCCTATTATTTGCCATATTTTTTAAGACTGTAAGGAAATATTAGTATGAATAATGGAATAAATTTTAATTTACATTTTAATCGTTTTCTCTACTGTTTTCGAAGTAGATAGTAGGCGGAAGTCATCATCTTTAGCTTATGCAGATTATTTAAATTTTAACCATTAAAACTTTGGAATAGTCTTCCCTAAGCTCCCAATCAGTTGTGCCTTTAACTAGCCAAGATTGTGCTCAGTGCATGGTTCAGTGCTGGCTCCAGCTTAACTGCCAGGCGACCAGCTGCCGCAATGTGGCACAGCGGATCCCGACTCGAACACGGCGTCCTGCGACTCGACTGCCATCCCGCTGCTTTTGGCCACCAGTCGGCACTCACATGACGTGGCCACCGTTTGTCAGCATTACCGGTATTTACAATATATATTTTAATATTTTCGGGGCCCCGCACTCTCGGCCAGCCCAACTCCATCTCCAATCCCTGCTGATTGTGTGTGTGTGCCACTGTGCCAAATTGTTTATGAAAAATTGCGTATGACGACGCCGCTGCTGGCCCATAAATCAAGCCGCCTTGGCCGAGGATTTGGGCCAACAGCTCGACGGTGGCTCCGCTTGGTAATTACAATGTAGCCGCCTGTGAATTTAACGATCTGGGGCGTTTGGGGTGGCGGAAACACAACAATCCCAGCCACTGCCCCCAAGGAAAGGGTTTTCCTTCGGTCAGTTCGGTTGGTCAGCGGGTTGCCGGTTGTGCGTTCGGGGGCGGCATGTTAACAAAAGTGTGAGCCAAGTGGAAAATAACATTAAAAAGAGCCATAACAATAACTAACAAAGACACCAAAAGCAAATGGCAATGCCGAATGGCTGGCTAACTGGCAGAAAGGCCAGGACGCAGACGGTCCTTCCCGCTTTCCACTCGCTTTCCCGACTCGACCAGGAGCAGGCCGACAAAAATTAAATGGCGCGAGAAAATTGCATGGTCGGTGTGGTGCAAAGAGAGAAAAGCCGGTCTACATAATTGCCCCGAGCCAGAATACACACTTAGATAAAAATTATAAAGTAAAATTAAAAAATGTAAACTCTATTTAAACTGCCAAAATGGCTTCAAGAACAAAAACTTTTCATTTAAAATATTTTTATTTTGGTAGAAATATTGTTAACTTAAATACTGACTTTTAGGCAAACTTTGCGAAGCAAAATATTATTTTAATTTAGGAAAAAGAAAGAAATAAAAAAAATTTCACGTATAAAATATACATTTTAATTCAATTTAAGTACACGCTGGGTACAAAATTGTGTTTGCTTATAAAATAAAAGTTGTAGTATTTACAGCCGTAGAATGTGCGGGGGCTAAGAAATGTTTCCTTAGACAGGCAAAGTCGTAATCAAAATGTAATCATGCGATACATTCCATTACTATTCAAATCTGAAAATATTTCCTGGATGTTATAGTTATTTTTTGCAGTGCAGACTCAGCAGGATAGATGCATGAGCCAGAGGCTGAGGACCAGAGTGGAAAGCAATCATTGCTACAGCGTTCATGTGCATGTACGCCCTGGCTGCCCCCCTATAACATTTAACTATTTCCTGAAATATATACTCTTTGTCTTGGCCTGCTCTGCGGTGGCATAGTTTTGGCTGCTCCTTTGCTTTAGTTGGGCAGTAAGTCACTTCCACAGAAGGCAGGAGAGCAATGGTCCGGGTGATGTGGTAATAAAAGGTCATTTTGGGCGAGCGATCATAACAGGAATAATCACCAGGGGCACCTCTTGAATGTGTGTTGGCAACCCTAACGCACGGCTGGCCAAAAAGTATGCAACGCAATCAACAAATATCTAAATTAATTTTAAGCCCCGCCAAACATTGAAGAGGCCTGCAGCATTTAATTGAACGCAAAATTGGTATTAGGCTTTGCATACTTTGCGGTTCAATTGGAAATTAATATGGAATTAAAGCGCTAAACTGGTTTAATTGCATCTAAAATATATGCTCTGCACTTCAGGCAAAATATTTATTTGCCGGCAAATATTGGTTTGTTTCAACGCTCGTAGCGATATTTAAGCCACCCAGAAAATTTATTATCCCCCCATTTCACACACATGAGAACAGATGAAGACATAGTGCCTTCTTCTTTGACTCTATATTTATTGCCGAATTCTTAGTGTTATTGATTGTTACACTAGCTTACAATTAGATAGACTTATACATAAGTACTCAGTAAGCTCACATTTTTTACATTTTGTGTTTCATCTAAAATATTGTGATTCTTTTTCTAATTAACTACCATACTTTAAATTGTAAACAATTGACTTCCCATTAACATAGGTATCGATGTAAATTGAGTCGAAGAAGTGACGCAAAGAAAATTGAATTTTAATTGTAAAATAATAACGATTTCTACTAAGGAAATAACTAATTAAAAAAGGGTTCATAACCAATTGCTTACTTGCTGGAATAAAAACACAAATTGTTTTACTGTTACGCCCAGAATATTCCAAAATCTAGAAATCTAGTCTTAGTAAACAAAACTTAGTCTATCCCTAAACTTAACCTATTGTTTAGTACATAATTCTCAATTTTTACAAATACAAATGCTTAGGTAAAAATCTAACATTATTTAAAAGCAAGTGTTGCAGTATCCCCTACGTTCCCTCCCGCCAGTGAAAACACAAAGCCCTTTTACGTTTCAGCTAACTACTACTTAGGCCTAAAGTGATCGGATGCTGGGAATGGGGTGGCTAAGACTAACTGGGCTTACGGCCACTGGGAGGACTCAGCAGCTGTGGCACTTGACCAGGCCCACCTCGTCGCAGTTCATGCACTTGAGGGCCACGAACTCGGCGGTGAAGTGGTTGCGGTGCACGGACTTCTTGGACCCGTTGCAGGAGGGGCACGGCAGCAGGCGGTAGCCGCCGCAGGTCTGGCAGGTGAAGGTGCTGGACATGGACTTGTACGGCTTGAGCAGCTGCCGCAGCTCGCCGGACTCGTTCAGCCGCTCCACGGTCTCGGCGTCCCCGATGTGCTGCCCCTCGACGTACAGCTGGGGCACCCGCACCTGGCCGCTCTGCATCCGCTGGCGCATCTCCGCCTGGTACTCCACGCTCATGAACACGTCCCGCTCCTCGAACTTCACCAGCAGGGTGCGCAGGATCTGCTTCACGTTGGCGCACTTCGTGTACGTCTCCCGGATGATGCCCATGCTGGTCGTGTAGAGCACCACCTTCCCCAGGTCTTTCTCCTTGAAGTTCTGCGGGGCAAACGGAGAGGGGGAGAAGAGCAGATCAGAGATTAGTTCGAGTTCTGGTTTGGCGGCGGGCTGAAATGCTGAAAAGCAGGCCACCGAAAACTGGAAACTGGCGCGCCATTCGCCACAGAGCGCGGATTTCAGAGTCTGTCATGGTCAGGCAAGAATGGCAATGCCAAATTGGGTCTCTACCGGCTGAGGATGAAGGCCAACTGTAGACAAAGGCGATGCGGAAGCCGAATCAATAGAGACTTCAGCATTCGAAACAGTAGTTAATACGCCCGACTTGGTTGATATTTATATACAGTTGGTCAATGCATTTTGATTTTATTTTTAATGTTTTATGTATTCAGATCAAAATAACAGATGACTTTATTTTTACTTTACTTTAGTGGTTACTGAGGTTGCTTTAGCCAACCAATGCAATTGATCTTGTACAGCTACCAAATAAATGTTATTTACCTCGTTACATGCAAGCTCAGTATTATCATTCATACTTTTCATAATGAACACATTACAGTTTTATTATAGTTATTAGTTTAGTAATAACGAATAAACAATTGTCTGGTCTTTTATTACCGATTTAATTGGATTTGTTCACATTATAGTTTTTATATTTACGAATAAATCAAGCGAAACCCGTTGTTTAATATTTCAGCCGGAATTAATGATAAAATTTGGCAACAACATCTTTTCCAATTGAGTTTGGAAAGTGCTTTACTTCCCCCTCCAATGTTCCCAAACTGTAAAGGCAGTACTTGAAGCTAGAACCTGGTCTGGGCCATAAACCCACAAGGGGAGTTGGATTTCGGGTGCTGAAAACTGGTTGGAATTGGCAACTCGATCTGCGGCTGGTGGAAAACCTCAGCCACTCTCTGCCGGGGCTTTCAGTTCATTAGCTCGCAGCTCGGAGTCACGTAACCGGGCAACTCTGCATGTCACTCAAAATCCTATTAATCAATACAATTAAGCAATAATAGGAAAACTGCTAGGCAATCGAAGTCGCCAGCAACCAGAGTTGGACTGAGACGGCGGCACAATGGAAACCTGGAATGTTTTCCCGACAATTTATGATGGCTTATTTTGTAAGTCCGAACCGGTTCGCAGCTTGGGGATCGCTCTTTTCATTTGACAATTAACATTTCCGTTAGTTGGCCAACTTTGGTGGCGTCTGCTTTGGCTAATGAACCAAGCCGAGCCGAAGCGATCCGATCTGATCCCGGTTCCCCCACCTGCAACACTCATCAGGTATCAATGAACCGTGCAGATGCATTTTGTGCACAGAAAGAAAATGTTGTAAATGCACTAAAACACCTTATAGAAATGTCTAAACTCTAAAGAGTATATTTTTACATCTTTGATAGTACTAATAACCCTTTTGAAAATGAATATGTTATGTTAGCTCATACAAAAGAGTTATATTGTTAATTGAAAGAATGGACAATGTTCTATTAAAAGTCATAAACTGATTGGAAGGCTAGGAACTTGATAAAACCCTAGTCTTACTTAACTTTCGTGAGTTTCATAATTGAATATACTGGCCTTGTAATAAATTAATATTTATGATTCAGTTGTTTTATTTAATTCTGCTTTCTGGACATGTTGGTCCACTTAAGAATGATTTGCGGGTTATTCCTAAAAAGAATTGTCTGTTTTTTGTAGCCTATTAGCAAACTTAAGCTAAGAGGAGGATGGCTCAATATGTTGGAAAAATCTTCTGTATCCAACTTTTGAATTTTACTTGTTTGGTTGGTTGTTTACATATTACATCATTCCTGATAAGCAGGCAAATAAATATACATTTTTTTTTCATTACAAAAATAAGCTTACCAATCCGAGAAATAAATAAAAATCTTTCCACATTTTTACAAAAAAAAATAAGTGTTATTAAATACCAGTTAGGTATGCAATGTTCATATGTAAATATAGAGAAGTGATTTGTTTGTTATTCTCCGTGTACTGGATTGAAGCCTCTTGAAACCGGTGAGACGAGAATTTGCATGGCAATAGAAAGAAAGAAAATTAATAAGCTGGCGGAGGCAGGGAAATGGAAAATGCATCGAGACAAAGACACAACATTCCGAAAGAGATGCAGCTGCAAGTGCCGTTGTCAACGATAAACGACAAAAGCGAGAAAAATATTTCACGACAAAACTGAAGAGAAAAAGTTCAAAGCCACGCAGCACGAACCAAATCGACAATAAACAAGCTGGCAAGCAAACAACCAGCGAGCTGCGGTCAAATGGAAAGTCAACTCCAGCTCTAAGTGAACGTTGCGGAGCTGTTTTTCCAATTCAATTCCAGCGGTTGTCTTTGGCGAAAAGAAAAGCCCCCGAGCCGGGCTAATAATAATGGACGGGAGTTGGTGGTGGCCCCTCATCCGTCAGTGGTTCAATGTCAACTCGAGCTGATAATTTGCATTGCCGAAAACATAAACACGGCGGCAATTAACAATTACCACACGTGATTTGCACGGTTGACCTCGGCGCGACTTTTGTCACAGCAGCAACATCAAGAGCAACGCGAGCAACAGCATCGCGGGCAGCAGCAACACCAGCAACAGCAGCAACAGCACGGCAGCAACTTCGGCGCAGCAGCAACTGCTACATATAAGTGGACAAAAGAGAAAGCAGGTCACTTGTATGGCCAAGAGCCAGCGGTGGAGTGATTGGCAATCGAAGAGTTGGGCAACAGCGCCGAGATGGAGGCTAATGCCGAGCCAGCCGATATTGCTGATGCTTCTCGAAGGTGACAAAGTGAGCTGTGTGTTTTCCGAACGGCTGATTTGTGGCCAGCACCTCCAATTTGTGGCCGGCCATCGAAAATTCGGTGGACGCTCTAATTATGGCTTTCAGCAAGGCGCCGAAAAGGGCCGAGGAAAAGACAGGGGCCAAGACAATGCCAGCCCGCCTTTTCACTTTCGATTTTACTGCTCTGCATACCGGCTGCATTGTAATTAGCAGCATCTCACTTTCCTCATTGTGGCCATCGACTCGGATGCTTCCTCCTTCCCCGAATCTCTCATTTGCATGCGGGCCGCTATAAGGCCATAAACATTTCTATTCAGTTAGCATCCACTTAAGTTATGCTGATCCGCCGTTGTTTCTAGTCCGGCGAGCCAGCTATCATTCCATCAATTCGTCAGGTTCAGAAAGTGAAAAGCGCGAGAGTCGCAGGCCGAGACGCAAAACAAAACAATTAATGTGATCTAAAATCTGCTCATTAAATTAGATAAAGGGAAATCTCGAAGCGGGGCAACTAATAAAAGCTAAAAAGCATAAAAAACAATATCATACCTAACCAGAAGTGTGTATATGGACTAGAAAAGATTTCTACTCCCGTCACGGTTGATAAAGGCAAAACGGGAGAAAAGCGATTATATAGGCGGAAAAGCGACTGAGTGATAATCCATCAATTGAGGACAGGTTTCCAATCCTAAATGGCGTTCAGTGTGGAAAGACTCGAAATCAATCACAACTATTTCGAAACACTAATGGCAGCTTCGATTTGGGAAGTGGCATTCCTAATGGTGGCAATTCAGATAATTTGCGATATTAAGATACAAAATTTGTTTGATTTGTGATAAAAACTCTGAAGGGGATTTGCGCAATCGAAATACTAGAAAGCGCGGCAATCCAATAGTCATAAATCAACATTAGTTTTAAGCAAATAAATAAGTATTTATTAAAGATTATGAAACTATGGTACCATATTATCTTTCTAAAAACTAGAAAGCTCTTCAAACGAAATCATAAATTAGACACGGAATTCCCCCAGATTTGTCAGATGACTCAATATAAAGATTTGCTATGTTTTTTGAAGGTGGAATTCAAAATGAGGAAAGTGTCTACCCCAAAAAAACATTCTGTATACTTCATCGATTAATCAAGAGTTTCAAAGAAGTCTTTGCTAATAAATTCCGAATTCTTTAAAGTGAAAATGGTAAATCAAAATACTAGAAAGCTCTTCAAGACAATGATCATTAATCAGCGAGATCAAATGAATTAATTAGCCTCACAATCAAAGATCGCTTTATGCAAAACTAGTTCCGAGAACACGCCTCGGAAAAAGATGCCATTACAAACGCCGCTTTTACGATGACAATTTCACTCAGCTCCATTGTCTCGCCTCCGTGGAATTAGCTGTTCTTTTATTTTTTATTTGTTTTCCAGCTCCCCAACTGCCCGACATTAACTGCGATTAGTCGTGTCAATCCCGCGCACCCAAACTACATGTCTCTGGGAACGAAAAGCGAGAGACAAACCCGAATTTGGCTGAGGCGATATCTGGCATAAGCCAAGCGCTATCCGAGCAAGTTGTAAACGCGCTAAGCGCATACAAAACGACATCGGCGGAGACAAAATAAGCCACTTAACGGTTTCCATTATAATTGAAGAAGAAACCGACGAAGACGCTGAAAGCGCAGGGGCTCGAGCGGAGCTTCCCTGGCAGTTCATTAGATTACGGGCAAGACGAAATGTGAAAGATATATTGAAAAGCCGCAGCCGCCTCAATTGTTGGCCAGCAGCACTTTCTCCCGGCCACCTGAAATGCAGACAATTGGCAAGATGCTTGCTCGCACCAATTGCCAATTGCATAATTTGGGCGGCAGGTGACTCAACGCCACTGGAGGCCGACGCCCAGCAGCGTGGGAACTGAATAACCATCAATACCTGAATATTCATATTCGAATTCATAACTACAGCTGCGGTCAAATGTATAGCGGACTTGATGGCAAAGCATATAAACCATTTTTTGTAATTTGTTCTTGAGTTGATAAACAAAAAAATATTTATAACTTCAAAAGCATATGTAAAATTGAGGGGCCCTTTTTTCCTTAAATTCATTTAAGCATTTGATAAACTATAAGTTTGTATTTTTCAGGGGCTAAAATGTTTAATTTTGAACGCTTCTTGGTAACTTTACATATGTCACAATATAATTTCTATAACGATCGATTTATAAATTTATAATTTTCAAGCCATGTTGCATATTAAACTTTTAAGTTCTTTTGTAACACAAAGCTTAAAAAAAAAATATACTTTTTACATTTTTTAATTCTTTATGATAATCTGAAACTGTTTTAGGATTACCAATCAATAATTCAACTAAGTTGTTAATTAGTTGGTTCTAGATTTTATTAATGCATTGTGAAATTTTATTAAAATCTACTATATAGAAATTCCAAAATAATAAAAAATTCTAAAATTCGTTATCTCTTTAAAATTGTTAAAAAAATTTTATCTAGATAGTATGCGACGTATGTACGATATTTGGAGTCTTTATAAGATGCAGTGCGAAGAGATTGCTGGCAAATAAGTTCAAGTTAATAGTTATTGAAACCGGTAAATGGAGTTTGCAACTGATTGGCAATGCATGACTGGGGCCTCAACAGTGTTTCGGTATTGTAACCATCCCATTCCGCCTCCCATCTCCATCTCCATTCCCATCTCCATCCCCATCTCAATTCCCACCTTGACCCCGGAACTCACCTTGGCATTGGGCTGCTGGTGGAGCTGCAAGAACGTGGCTATTCCATTGCGCACACGGTTCTTGACGCCCCGCACCGTTCCCTTGGCGGACCGGATGGTGGACTGCGTGGAGCTGGCCCCGCAGCGCACGTCCCGATAGCCGGCGAAGAGGTCTTGCTGCTCCGTTAGGATGCCGCACTCCGATCCCGCTCTGGTGGCCATGTCCAGCTCGTCGCCGTTTCCCGAGAAGCTGCTGCTGAAGTTCTCGTGCTCGTTAATGTGAAAGCTGTAGTATTGGTCGTCTGCATATTTGTAGTTGATGTTGCTGCGGTGTCCGCCGATGCTGCTGCTCGCTGGCAGCGACTGCGGGGCGGCCTCGATGCTGTCCAGCGACTCCTCACCGGTTTGCACAAAGTTGGCCCGCTCCACGGCCGCCCGCAGCTCCTCGATTTTCTCCTCGCTCAGCGACTCGCGGGCCAGGCGAAACGGGCTGCTCTTGGGTTTCTCCGCGATCTTGTCCTGCATCTGGACCTGCTCCTCGCTTGGCTGGGAGAACTGCACCACGTAGTCGGTGCCGCGGCGGTCGCGAATGTCCCGGAGCAGGCTGTCGGGCAGCAGGGCGCCCAGGACCCTCAAGGACTTCTGGCGCTGCCGCTGGCCGCTGGGCTGGGAGGCGGCCTGACGCACGTACTCCGTGCTGCTGCCGTGCATCGAGTCGCTGCCCAGCGAGGAGGGACCACTCTCCTCGCTGTCGTCCGGCTTGGTGGGCACCCCGGTGCTCTCCAGGTCACTGCCATTGCCGCTGTCCGCCGTCTCGCAGTGCGCCGAGTACTGCTGGTACTGATCCATGAAGCAGCCGCCCGCGTTTCCGCCCTTGCTCACAGGGGGCGTGGCCAGCACCATTGCTATTTATTTGTTGAGAGTTCGTTTGGTAAGCCTACTTTCGGCTGGCACTGTCTCGGAATTAGAAAAAGAGCTGTGTTTTGGCCCAGGAAAATGCAAGCGTTCAATGACTCTGACGGCCGTTGCACCCGAGACGTCGCATGTCTTTCTGCTTCAGATCTCGTCGTTAGACTGGCCCGACTTTTTCTGGCCAAGACGCCGAGCCAGAGCCGCGATCGCAGCACTCGGCTCTCTCCCGCTCTCTGGGCCACTTTATTCAGCGCTCAGTGGCATTCAGCAACTCCGTGGCTTTCTTTCGGCCAGATTGCACCTTCGCCGCGCGTTATTAGATTTTGTAATTTTAGCACCCGTTGCTGGGGCTCAAATTGTTTGTCATTAGCCGGTGAAGAAGTTTCTGGCCGCCTCGCGAATTAGCAATTGGCCTACAGAGCTGCGGAGCATCAGCAGCTGCCAAAGTTGGCATGACGCCTGCGCGTGACTGTGACGCGATGCCAAATGGAAAAAAGGCCCGATCGCTCGGCCAGATTAGCCAACGCGGAGAACCGCAAGAACGCGAATTAGCCAAGTCTCCAGCAGCATCTACTGTTCCGCTGCGGTTATTAAATAACATTTCAATTATGGGGGTCCCATCGATGGCGGAACTTGACCTATTTGACTCGCTTCTTGGCTAGCGGTTATTGGCCAAATGCTTTTGGCAGCAATTCTTAAGAACCTAAAACAAAAATGAAAGAAATGTTAAATGCTTTAATGATACAAATCTGAAAAAAACTATAATTATTAGAAGTTTACAACATTTATCATAAGATGTGGGGATTGAGTTTGCCTAAGTGGTGGGTATTTTTAGACACAAAATAGTGTTAAAATAAACAAAATGGTGTTACTCAGTTTATAGCAGCTTTTGACTTAATTTGGTTTTAAATAGAAGGGTTGCTCTATCTACTTTGTGAATCTCTGTAAAACAATTATGGTTCTTAATATTGGTTGAACATTTAAAGCATGACCTTTCCCAAATATCTTGTAAGATGTACATACAAAATCGGTTGATTGCTCAGCTAAAAACATAAATGTGCAAAAAATTTAAATCAAAAACATCTTGCTTTTGTTTAATCGTAATGATTAAAGGCACCCTGATTAATCAGAATTAAACGTTTTTTTAAGCAAATAAAAGCCATTATATTTCAGACAAGCTGAACACAATACGCGTGACAATTTTCTGAATTTTTTTATTGAATGAGTCGCAGTCATCGACAGCTTATCCACCGCATCTCGGACAACTTCCTGCACAGATAGCATAAGTTACTATAATTCATTCATTCGTCAGCGAAAATGTGCTGGCAGCTCGCCATGAGTTGGCCAAAAAAGAATTTCTGTTGTGCATTTTACACGCACACATTATTTTTATTTATGCCAGAAAACTGGCAGAGGATAAGCATATTATCGGCTTAGAGACGAGCGGAAAAGATACTAACTATAAAGCTGTCGCCGCGTAATCTATGCAAATGCCAAGTCGGGGCTTATCTTGCGGCTTTTCCGAAATCGACCGAATATCACGTATCCGCAGAGTCTGCTCTTCGCAGTTTGAATGCATCTAATTGACGACGGTCGCTATCAATAGCGAATCCGAACAATCGAAGCATCTATCGGGCTGTGACGAATTTCGCAGAATGCCGATGCCAAGCGTGTTTATCGCGCAATCTGATGTCTGCAGAATTTCGGCTCCGATAATACCATTTAGCCGAAGAACTATGGGCATGAGTGTATCAGACCTCGACGCGTGCCACTTCTGGCTTATAAAAGGCCCGGACGCATCTCGAATTGCATTGAGTTTTGCAACTGTCTCAGAACTGCAATAACATGGTTGGCCTGCATCTCTGTCTTGGATTATTTGTACAAGTTCTGATGGCATCCGCCGCCCAGGATCAGAACCAGATGAGCATGTTCTGCTCCGACGACGACACTCCGGCATGTGCCCAAAGTCGGAACAATGGGATGTACTTCTTGTTCAGCAACGAGTGTGACCTGCGAAAGGCCCAGCGGGGCAACCTCATGAATGGTCCTCTAAGTGAGTATTCGATCAAAAACGGGTTATGTAATAAAGCAGCAGAACAAAATACTATTTTCATATGACATTTTGTGAACAAGATGATTATCTTTCAAAATGCTTGGCTTTTCCTAAATCAATTATAAATCACGAAAAGAATATTTTAGAATTTGCCTAAATTGTTGTTGTTTTTAATGCGACCTTTTAAGCTAAAACACATTACAATACAAATATCTACAAATAATGTATAATAAATCAACACCTGAGTTGCACATTTTTGATTCCACTCCAGATAAGCAATGAATTCGTAAACATAAATAAAAATTCCCAATATTGTAATATTCGTTTCCCATTATTTATTTCCTCTGTAGATGACGTAACTCTCCGTTATTGCTTTCCCAGCTGCGAGTTTGAGTGCAGCTCCAGATACCAGCCAGTTTGTGGGATCAGTTCGAGGACAGGGAAACGCCAGACCTTCAAGAGCCGCTGCGAGATGATGCGGACCGCCTGTCTCTCCCGGTCGGACTGGCTTGTCCAGCGGTGGGGAGTGTGTTTCAAGGCCAACACGGTGGCCCAGAGTAGCCGGAAGCCACCTGTGGCCGTGCCCTGCACCAGGATCTACCGGCCTGTGTGTGCCATGTACGCGGGTGTCAAGTCCACCTTCTCCAACGAGTGCCTGGTGAACGCGGAGAACATTAAGACCCGGAGAAGTGAGTAGTCATAGCTCTTAGCACGCTGAAATGCCACAAACATACAAATTTCAAATACTTACTCAATTTTATTTGAGAGAAATAAGAAAAACCTGAAGCATTAAGTTCTAACTTGACCCTCTTTTGCTTAAATGTACCCGATGTCGCCCCTTTTTGTTGCGAAATGCGATAAGATTGACCATCATTTCCTGTGTTTTTTCCTGTGCACAGATTGGCGCATCGTTTCCGAGGGCCTTTGTGGCGAGGACAGCACCAAGATGAAGCACAGTCGCAAGCAGAAGCCGAAGGCCAAGCCCAAAGTGGATGCGGACCGCACGAAGCGGAGCCACAAAAGCAGAAGGTTGTCCACTCAGGCGGAAGACTTCCAGATACCGGAGGACGCCGTGCAGATCTACGCCCCCTCGACCTTCCACACGCAGTTCATCAGCCACACGGGCGCCATGGAGAAGAGCTATTCGCTGCCCGCCAGGAAGCCCTACGTGGTGGTCGCCCCCAAATCGAAGGTGCGACGGCTCCCCGCGAAGTCGTGCGTTTTCGGCAATGAGCCCGTTTGTGGCAGCTTTAGGGGGCACAACCGCACCTTTTCCAGTGTCTGTGAGCTGATGGAGTACAGCCAAAAAGTCGGAAACGGTAAGCAATTCCTGGGAGTTATTCAGCGGATTGATGAAACATTCTATAAGCTATTGGCTACAAAATAACTAGGCAAATCTTGGAGGGATAACAGTGATGTATAAGATTTTAAACTCTGAGATTTTCCTAATATTTTTCTGTACTTTATTGCCTTGATAATAAGATTGTTCAGACGTTTGCTAATGGTGATTCCACTCCCCACAGCATGGACCATTTCCCACAACGGAGCCTGTCGTCGCTGTGACAAACCATGTCCCACAGTCTATCAGCCCATTTGTGCCACTCGCAATGGCATCGATCACACGATCATCAACGAGTGTTATCTGGAGCGAGTGCGCTGCAAGGATCCAAACAGCAGTAAGTGAAATCCATTGCATAAAATATGTATGTATAAAATGATATATAACGCACACTGTCCTCCAGTTTGGAAGCTATCCCATAAGGGTGAATGCCTCAAGTCCAAGCGCGAGGGTTCCAAGAGAATTTCCCCTGAAAAAAGTCGGCCACTAACTTTGGTGCCACGCGTTCTGTTTGGGATGAGTAAAAGGAACACCACCGCAGCACAACCAAGAGCTGGGAAAACTACATTGAAAACCACAACCACTAAGGCTCCAACCACACCACATAAACATCGCCAGATGGAGAAAAGGACTTTCAAGGCCACTTCCCCTTCCCTTGAAGTAAACAATCGCAAAATACGCAAAACAGAGCTGGCCACTGCGGGATTCTATAGATCTAGTGGCTCGAATCACGTGCACACAGATGAAGACGCTTCCTGGTCCTCCAATGACAATTGGCTGGTGCGGAAAACTCTCGATAATGTCAAGGGCTTTTTGGCCAAAAAGCCAACATCTTTCGCGAAGGCGCGCAGTGAGAAGAACCCACTCTATTACTGGACTGTCCCACCGACAGGCACCACCAGTACATTTAGTACCTCAAGGAGCACCACCACAGCAGCACCACCATCGAAACTGCCTTCCATTTTGAGCATGGCGTCCACGGAGCTGCTTAATTTGGATATTGGAAATGCCGCCAATGTGTACGAGGATGCTGAGCCTGAATTGCTGCTTGTGGGGATCACTAAAGAAGCCACATCAACCACACCTGTTCCAAGCACCACTGAGCCGCCCAGCAGCACCCAGCCTTCGAGTTCGGAATTACCCACCACCAGTTTGGATACCGCCTCCTCCTCGGCGGAAACCACTGGTGAAGACTCAACCACTGACTCGGAGGAGACAAGTGAACCGCCAACCACCAGAATGGACTCTAGCACCACAGCCGCACCACCATCTTCGACCACTGAAGCCGCGGAATTGAATAGCCAAACCACCGGCAGCGAGTCGTCAAGCACCGTGGCTTCCAGCGAGCTGGCCACAACCACCGTTAACGCGGACTACGCGGCGGATGAGTCATTTTCGGAGTCCAGTGGTCAGACCTCCATCTACGGGCTCGACAAGAACTCTCTGATAATGCGATTGTTACGAGCTAGAAGTAATCAAAACGTGCTCATTTAGATGTGTAAGCCACTGTTAAAAACTACTCCTAAGTTGTTAAATACATTCCGTTCCTATTACGAGTTTTAGAATCTATTACATCGTGTTAATTTAAGAATTTAATTAAAATAGAGATGGAAACATTTGTTGCACCTTTCAAACCTACAACGATTATTAGCGGGAATGGTAGTATAAAAGTGGGAACAGACCGGATCGGTCGTATAGCTCCCATAGTAACAATCGGGAAAAAAGGTGAAATAAATTATAATTTTGTTCCTCGTTTTTTGAAAATGATAAAAAAAACTACTAGAAAACATTTAATTGTTTCAGGAAATCAATTTCCTTTAATCTTATTATCACGTTCAACTCTACAATTTTAGAAGTAACAACATATTTTTCACCTCAATGGGTGAAATGTTATATTTCTTTAAAAGAGAAACAATATATATATAATCTTTGTCTTTATTTTCAATCAAACGCAGCCATTATTTGGATGGCCGTAAATGCATTTTTCTTCTATATAGGGGCAGGTCGCCGCGCTCAGTTTTCCATGAAAAGTGATCAAATGCAGCAGTTTTTGAGCCGCGCGTGTTACGATTGTGGAAAATACAGTGGTACCAAAACATCACGTTGAACTTTCGCTGTTTTTCCCCAATTTCTCAGTTTTCCGACCTTGCCCCCCGGCGGTAGACCCCCTGCGCCCCGATCCTCCGCATATGCCACGACCCTGGGCCCCCCTCAAAAGTGCGTGGGAGGCGCTCCCAAGCCACAAGTCCAAATTCATACCCTCACGACTGCCAGCGTTGCCAGCCTCTCGAATATCCGTTATGAATCGGTTAACGACTGTATTCGCCTTTTACACGATTTATACTCACATGTATTTTACATGACTCGTTATACGCCCTCTTTTGGTAGAGGAACGAAACGGAAATAAAGTGGCAGCGCTGGCATTTGTTATCGCTGTTCTCAAAAGTAAACGTAAGGTGGCGCCATTAAAGCATGTAAAAAAACTATAAATTTCACTACACTACATCCAAAATGTTTTGATGTTTCGTTATATTAAAATATTAAAAAATACATACAAGGGTTTCATAATTATTTAAAACCGAAACATTTTCAGAAAGTTATAATCTGTGGATGGTATAAATAACAAATAATACGAAAAAAACCCACATTTAACGCTTTAAAAATAAATTAGGCTGCACTTCCAATTGTTACCACATCAAATATATAAAACACACAGGATATACGATACGTAGTGCATCGTCACTTCGATATTAAGATGAACAACAAAGAAAACCAAAGTTTATGTACCCTTGCAAATTTTATTTAAATTAAAGATTACATAAAACGACTATATTTAAAGACAATAAAGTCATGTCGATTTTCCAATATATTTTTTATAGGTTCCAATGGCAGCTATATGATTTATTCATCCCATTTTTTAAATAATATTAAACAATACATATTAAAAAACAAGTTTTACTTTTTTAATTTTATATACAACTGGTAAATAAAAGAATAACTAGCATAACATAATAATTATTTATAGTTTAAAAATAGTAATGAAAGTAAATTTTAATTATAACAATTTTGTGCTGCTTAAAAGTACAATCAACAAAATAGTGGTTAGGGTTTGTTAAACATCCTTGTTTAAGATTTATCTGGCGTTTGCGCCTCAAGAAAAAGTACGAGTGTGAACTTGTTTTTTATGACACTAAACAAGATTCCAAACGAAAGCAAGTGATTATAAGGCTTTATTTTATGGAGACATAACGAAGCTGTTTAATAAAGCAATAAATGCTTTGAATAGATTTGCAAAGATTTAGTAGTATAAATCATGTGGTAATAGTATTAACATGGTACTTCAAAAGGTACCATAGTTTGATCTAAAATGATTACAAATCAGAGAAATAATGGAAGGATGCCAAGTGACACATGATTTTAGTTAAAGAACAACCAATTACTATTTGTTTAACATACTGTGGGTTGAATCGGAACCTTACCTTGCACTAAGGGCATTTCAAGTCCAAAAGACTATCAGATTATTGTAAGTCTTAAGGCAGATGTGTCATAAGGACGTGTTAATAAATAATACAAAAATAAGCCTTACATATGGCTCCCTTGTGTGACGTCTCAAGTAAATAAACAAGAGAGAACGCTATAGTCGGGTGCCCCGACTATCAGATACCCGTTACTCAGGTAAAGGGAGTGCGAGGGAGATGGAGATAGAAACTTTGATCACGCATAACTTTTTAACGAATGGTCCGATTTGAAAAATTTCTTCTACATTTCGATAGGTATTGATAAACACAATAAAACTGCATTTTTACTTTTCCGAAATATTTAAATTTTTAAAATCGTATATAAGCGATTGTGCGCGTTAAAGAGGGCGTGGCACCTTTTTGAAACAAACTTGCGCTGCGTAGGAACTCCTAGAATCTGCATGCAAAATGCCAATCTTCTAGCTTTTATAGTTTCCGAGATCTCAGCGTTCATACGGACAGACAGACGGACAGACAGACGGACAGACGGACAGACGGACATGGCTATATCGACTCGGCTAGTGACCCTGATCAAGAATATATATACTTTATAGGGTCGGAAACGCTTCCTTCTAGCTGTTACATACTTTTGCACGAATACAATATACCCTCTTACTCTACGAGTAACGGGTATAAAGATCACATGGGAACCCTATAGGACTTAATTTACTATAAAAAGCAAATGATTTACAAAATGAAATATTTTTCTAAAGGGACTGTTGTAGTCTAAAGGCTATTTCTGAAGCCATTTGTTTACAAATTATATATAACAGTATAATTCATTATTTTTTAAATAGGAACGGGTGAAACAAGTACTTTTTTACTTAACTGGAGGTGTATACAAATTTCCCTGCTTGTTGTTTTTTTTTTTGGAGGTGAAAGAGATTCATTTTATGGATCACACTAACCGCTTGTATAAAGAGACTATATTTTCAACAGATTAATAAAAATAAAATGTATACATACCGTAAAATATTTGGGATGAAAAGATAAGGCACTTTCATATCGTCCCAGGTTTAATAGCAAATAAATTTAATGGAGGCACTTAAGAAAACCGGTCTATTTTCTAACAGGTACATTGGTTTTCCCTCAATAAAGAGTAATTAAGAATAGTTAAGGAATCGGAATCGGTGAGCTTGGAAATAAGACCCACGCATCCGTGCAATCTGGCAGACGTACTTGAACGGAAATTTCACTGTCGAACTGGCCAAGGCCATAACCACGTCTTTACGACCCAGGTCTGTCTGGTGGGAAACTCTCCTTGGCCACTGGCACTTTGACAATTATCAGCCCATCCGGCCGCCGGCTGCCACAGCCAAATGGCCCGAAAATCTGCTCTCGGGTTTGCTTAATTGCCTAGGCAACTCGGTCTCGGTTTCAGCCTCTCACCGCCTTTGTTAATTTCTCGTAAAAGTGGTTTCGGGGCTGTGGATTGTAGTGCAAAATCCGAGATCCTCCGAATACCCGCACGCTTGCGTGCTTTTCGTGATTTAATATGTGGCCATCAAATCGGGCTGGATGTGGGGTGGGTTTTGGCAATTATTGTTAGCCGCACGCCGGCCAAATATCTTCGAGGCTGGCTTAAAAACAATGTTTACACCAATTGCCGGCCAGAAAATGGACAACTTTCTTCGCAGCTGCGCAGCCGATGGATTCTAGCCGAAAGCCAGCCGGGAGCCACTTCATCCGATTACCTCATTCTCATTAAGCCGACCCACCACTACCATCTGCAGACCAATCACTTGCATTGCGAGCGGTGTCAGTCAGCGCCGCTCAAGAATTCCAAGCAACAAGAGTCGACAACTGCGCCAATTGTTACTTTCACTAGTCAATAATGCAACGGGGGCAATGCATCTCCGACAACAACAACTTTCGCATCCCGCGTCTGCGGCTTGGTAATTAAGACGGTCACAGGCCGCTCCAGCTAATCATTCCCAGGCCGGGCTGAAGTATGCAAATTGCACGACGCAATAGCCAGTTTAAACTCGCATAAATGCACATTTGCACTTATTCTGATTGGCATCGTTCGCCTGTCACTGCCACTGGCGCCAGGCCAGCGATCTTGTTGCACTGCCACAACACTACTACTATGCCACCGTTCCACGATTCACTTTCAATGGCTTTCATTGCGACTCACACGCAGCGGGAAGGCGGTCAATTGGCGGTTGCCTGCTGCCTGTTGCTCGACATTGGCTTCATAATCCCGCGACAATGCGATTCAATTTGTTGTCGATCGAGCGCTGATCATAGATCACAGATCGCGGATCGCTGATCGCCACGGAGCAATCGCCTCTTGGAGCGACTCTGACCCAGAAAGTTTCAGTGGCAGTGGCAGTGGCAGCAGCAGGAATTGCGATTCCGGACTGCACACTGCACTCTGCATGCACATGAACATTAGCTGGGAAAACTGGCTGGAGCTGGAGTTGGAGATGGAGCTGGCCTGCGGTTGCGGCTGCGCGATAAAAGGAGTAGCCAGCACCACTCGGCTGCCATTTGCGACTCGTCCATTCAGCCGTTCGGTGGTGTCCCAGTCATCTCGCGGTCATATCGAATCACTCACCGAAGACATGCTGCTGTGTCGCATTGTGCTGGCACTGCTGCTGCTGCTGCTGCTCCACTACTGCCAGGCCGAGGAGGAGCCCACCGAGCAGCTGGCGGTCTCCCTGGCCGAGTCCCTGGCCAGATCGGCAGGATCCCCATCGAGGGCCATCCAAGGCGACGCCTACATTGCCCGCAACCAGAGGCAGTGCTTCGAGACGCGCAGCCTGGTGTCGTGCATCAAGTACAAGGCCAGCAAACTGATCTGGAAACTGGCCACCAACAGCTTGGGCTTCTTCCCCAGCGAGTATGGACGCGACCTGGGCGCGGACAAGGGCCGCTGGCTGAGATTGGTCCAGCTGGGGGAGCCCGCCGACGAGGTGGTCGTGTTCAACGACGCCAAGAGCTTGGAAGGTGGGTCCGGGGTCCGCAATCGAAAGTTGTTTTCAGGCCAATCCGCAGCTGGAATCTCTGCGCGGCGGACGGGGACTTTAATTGATCACCTGCGCCTGGTCAGTATCCAAAGCACTCGCTGCCTGCCTGAATGGATAACCCACTGCGGATGTTTACGATCCATCCGGTTGTAAATTAATCTGAGGAATTATAGCCCCTGGCTTTTCTTATGCATTTTTTGTGCGGTTAATTAACACCGCCGCTGTGTTTGTTTTGCAGGTGACAGCGAACTGACGCTGGTTCTTAAGTTTCTGAAGAGGGCGGTGGAGACCTTTGGACGCAACCACGGACTGCAGCTGAACTTGTCCAGCGAGAGTGGAGCGCGGGTCGTGGACGAATCCGGTGGGTCCTCACAACATGACATTCCCAGTGTCAGACTAACCTAATCTAACCCCAATTAGAGGCCCGCTTGAAGCGCAAGAAGAAGAAGTGGCTCATCATCCTGCCCCTGATCATCCTGATGAAGATCGCCCACCTGAAGATGACATTGGTGAGCATGCTGTTGGCCGTGCTGGGCATGAACGTGCTGTTGGTGGGCGGAGTGGGCTGGCTGATCCACTACCTCAAGTACAAGACCATGTGCAAGATCCATCCCCACCTGGTGCAGACGCACTCGCACGTCTACGAGAACGATCCCACGGACTACTCGCAGTTCGTGGGCAGCAGCAGCTACTCCAACTCCTACTCCCCGTACAGCTCGGGGTCCGGGTCTCCGCACGAGGTCGGCGGCAACAGCTACAGCAAGGACTGGGCCACGAGTAAGGCCTACCACGCCCACAACTACCTGGACACGATCAGCAAGCGGATCCAGTAGGAGAAGCTCCTGAAGGAGCCAAGCGGACTTGTGCCAGCAACACTGAAACCTAGTGAATTGTTACCCGTCGCCGTCGTCGTGTCTTAGCCGTAATTAGCTTAGGTAACTTATTGTATCCTAATAAAGTTATTTATTATTTTTTTATCCTGCAAACCTAAACGATCTGGAGCTGAAATCTAAGTCTGGAGTTGCATTGGAAGTACCCCAGTAAGTACAAATTGGTTATTGATATTTCAAGTTTATTCGGTCAAAAAGGGCTATTTTTATGAATTTTTCACACGATACGGTTAATGTCAGGTAAATTATTTTAAAAACATAAATGAGCCGTTCGCAGCCAAGCTCCTTAGGCGACTCAAAGAAAAAAGGTTTTGCGATGAACAGCATAACTCGATACTGGATCATTAGAAAAACAAAAAAAAATTGATTTTTAGTTAAGATGTATTTAAAGATACTACGTTCAGTTTTTTTTGTTCAATGTTTGGATTTTTGGTAACACTTTGAAGTCAAAAACGATATATTAGTTATTATAAAATGAAAAATATTCAGTAAAAAAAACTCTCGACGTCAGTACCTGCGGATTTAGGAACAGAAATAGTATGCAAAATTTCAAAACGATTCGACCAGTAGATTTTAGAGGATCGTGTTTACCGACTTTTCAGGACAGCGTTTTAAAGTCTTGCACACCCAAAGATCGAATACAAATCGCAATATTCTTCAAATTTTGTGCATTCAGAAAAAAAAATTTAAGAAAGGCAAAAACAAATTTTAATACCATACCCCCTTAATCAAACCAAATCTGAAACTCAAGTCATTAAAAATATGTATACATATACATATATTCATGTGTTTAAACCATTTCATATTTTAATAATTATTATATTTATCCAACGAGTTTATTTAAATTTTAAATCTGCACATGTGATGTCACAAATTGTAAAGATCTTCTGGTATAATTTTCCCTCTGGCCCCTTGGATTTAACAGCGCAAACAATTCTCGTACAAGCATAAAGCAATTTGTTTATGACGAAGGCAAACAAGCACTTCCCCACAGACACCACTGGCCAAATAAAAATGAAAACAAAAACGTGAGTGTGCTGTTGGGCCCTCGTGTTTACCCGGGCTCTTATCAGTGCCATAGCCTTTGTTTACCAAACAAAGGGGATTTGCCTTCCGAGAAGCCATTTCAATTTGGTCGAATCAATGCGTTTACTAGCGCCCAATCCCCTGGCCAAAATAGGGAAATTCAATTGCGGGTAGAAATGTTTAAAACTATAAAGTTCTCAAATAAATGTTTCGACCTAGGAAATTGATAGTACACATTTTGAATTACTTTACAGCAAAGCTGCTGAAATAATCACGAAAAAGGTACATATGTTTGTTTACATAGAAAAAATTGTATGTGCGTGAGATTAATTAATTTCACAAAGAATCTTGCCAGAAAGTCTAGCAACTTCTGTGGCAGCGAATGGGGCACTTTAATAACAAGTTGTAAACGAAACAAACATCGCGGAAAAGCGTGAGGAGTCTAAAATTTATTAACGTGACTTCAACAATTTTGTTTATGGATGCGACTTGAATCTGTATTAAATATTTTTAGCTAAACAATTATTAATTCTTGACCATTATCATTAGGCGGGTTGAATTACCCACGTCTGTCTGTTTCTATGCTGCTTGCAAGCTCACTGAAAAGCTATAGACTTAAAACTTTTGCAATCGAATATTTTACGTAAACGGAGATCATGTTTCAATTAACTCTATCCTAGAGCTGCCATGTATATGTATGCTTCGACGCAGTACATTTACACAGTGCATGCTGATCACGTTCAAATTAATGAAGCTCCAGCCAAACTTACTTATAAATTTCCGGTTTAAGCACATTTAAAAAATAAAACAAATGTGGTAAATATTAGCCTAAAAATTTAGTATAGAATGGTTTTATTTATACTGCAGCGGAGTTTCCGCACAACCGAAAATTAACGCCACCTTCATTTCCAGCACTATCAATTCATAGGCTAAATAGATTTCCGAGAATAGCTTCTCTGTTTGCGAATACAACGAAATACATTGGCGTCCAATGTAGATTTATTTGTTGTTTCTGCATTTTATTTATGCCCGCAGCTCCGTTCCCTCGAACAGCTGTCGTAGACCAAATATGTACGGTCGGCTCTTTTGGCCCGATGTTTACCAGCTTCTTATCAGAGTCCTGCCTTTGTTTGCAGTACAATTTGGCTCGGACTCCCAAGAAGCCATGCCAATTGTTTAGCCACCCAACTACGCACGCCAGTTTATCAATATGTATAATTCGGCAGTATGGGACCACCTAATGCCATTTAAGTCGAGTTCGGGCCAACTGGCTGCTATCTCCTGACTACACATGTAAATGATTTAGCCGGGCAAATATCGGTGCGCACATTCATCTGTTTGCTCTCATTTATGGCATGATGCAAAGCCAAACAAAAGGCTGCACTTTAGTGTCGCTCTAACAACTGGCAGATATAGCTTATGTATCCATTTTAATAGGAATGAAAACGGGTGCCAGCGAATACGAGCTAAAATTTATGACCCTCGCAGATAGGAAGGCCACTTTGCGAGCGATTCAGGGTCATGCAACTTAAAGCCACGAGAGTGTGCATAAAATGTAAAATATTGTAAAGCCGTAGTAGTATTGTAAAATATATTGAATTTTATAACGCTTTTGACTAGCCGAATATTCCTAAAGCGAATAAGTGTTATAGTCAGACCCCAAACTACCATTATAAACTCAACAAGTTAATCATAATGTACTCTTGATTATACCCGTTACTCGTAGAGTAAAAGGGTATATTGTATTCGTGCAAAAGTATGTAACAGGTAGAAGGAAGCGTTTCCGACCCTATAAAGTATATATATTCTTGTTCAGGATCACTAGCCGAGTCGATCTAGCCATGTCCGTCTGTCCGTCTGTCTGTCTGTCCGTCTGTCTGTCTGTCCGTATGAACGCTCAGATCTCGGAAACTATAAAAGCTAGAAGATTGGCATTTTGCATGTAGATTTTAGGAGTTCCTACGCAGCGCAAGTTTGTTTCAAAATGGTGCCAATGCCACTCTTACGCCCAAAAACCCATTAAACGCTTAAGCCTGGCTAGCGCCTACATTTCCGCCTTTCATGGCCCGTGGTACCAATGTCTTGGGGTAGATGGCGCAATATAATGGCGCATATTTATATTAAGTTGTTTAGCTGAGTAACGGGTATCTAATAGTCGGGGCACTCGACTATAGCGTACTCTCTTGTTTTCTATTAAGGTTATGATTCCTTTTAGTGTATTGACTTGTATTGTTAAGAATATTCAGAAATAATACTAAGCAGATATGATATCACCTTCTCAGTACATTTATTCTCACCTTCTTAACCACAAAATCTTGAATATCTGGCGACATACATTTTTGGGAGGGGAATATGAAAAAAGGGAAATATTTCTGTTATTAAATCTGTCCCGTCATCTGACCATAAAGCTGCACTCGCCACGAACAGAGAACAGAGAACTGATTTAAAGGAGACTATATAGTAATTACACCTGTCTGTGCTTGGCATCTTATAATTTCACTAAGATAATCGTGACCATACTGATAAGACACAGGTTTGCTGGGAATATAAACGCGTTTCCAGTTGCTGTAAGATCATATTCGAGAGATCGCAGTACCCAAGAACAGTCACCATGCTTCCGAGTTGGCTAACAGAGGAGTACATACAGAAGGCACTGCGGGATTTTCACAAGGACGCGAAGCTTCGAGTCCAGAAGGTCTGGGCCAAGCCAGCAACGGAGAAGGGCGAGAACTTCGTGGGCGTAATGACTCGTATCTTTGTGGACTTCGTGCAGGGAGATGGAGCTGAGCAGAAGAAGTCCTACATCCTGAAGCAAGCCGTTCCCTCGGACGCTCCTCAGGCGAAAATCTTCAAGGAATACGATGTTTACAACAGGGAACTGCATATGTATGACATTGTTCTGCCGAAAATGGCTAAGATTCTCCAAGGGGCTGACTTCAACGATAAGCTGATGGCGGAGGCCATTATCGTTGATCGGGAGCGAACCATCATGATCCTCGAGGATTTGGCTCCGCTCCGCTACTCGAATGCGGATAGGGTGAAGCAACTGGACATGGCCCACACCAAGCTCGTCCTGGACATGCTGGCCAAGTTCCATGCCTCAGCCATTATCCTGAACCAACGCGAACCGGATCTCCTCAACCGGAACTACGCATCGCACTTCTTTTCGCGGGGCAAAAAGGGTTACGAGGAGGTCTTTATTGGCCTGTTCAGGGCATTCATCAGGTATGTGAAGAGCAGGCCCAACTTGAGGAATCTCTATGCGGACAAGCTGGAGCATATCATCGGCAATTTGATGGGATATGCTGCCCGATCCGTCGATGTGGGGGAGAAGGACCTGCAGACGTTGGTGCACGGCGACTGTTGGACCACCAATGTGATGTACCTGCACGACGACGAGGGCAATCCCACCACTGTCCTGCCCATTGACTTCCAGTTCAGTACTTGGACATCGCCGGCAGTCGACTTGCATTACTTCTTCAGTACGTCGCTGAAGGCAGATGTGTTGGCGAAGGAAACTGAGCTTGTCCAGTATCACTACTACGCCCTTAAAAGGACCTTGGAAGCGCTTTCCTACAAGGGGTTCTTCCCCAGCCTGTTCGAGTATCAGCTTCAGTTCGAGAGACGGAGATTCATGAGTAAGTGTAGAACATTACAGAACATCAACATTACCAAAATCTCTTTCTTTTGCCTCTCAAAGGTGTGATTATTGCCAACGTATTTCAACCCATTATGGTGTACCATGGCAACGAGGACTGCGAGTTCATAAATCTCTATCAGGATACTCCAGAAGGCATCAAGTTTCAGGACTCGATGTATGAAAACGAAGAGATTCAGAGAAGAATTGACACAATATTACCCATCCTCGATGCCAAAGGCTTCTTGGAGGCTCATTAAATAAGACTTTTATTGAATATACAATTTTATTAATAATAAAATCAATGCGATTTGGGTGCATAAATAATTGTATTGTGTAAATTTATTGACTTGGAAAAATCAAAAGATTAATCCACTCGTCACAATAGCAGTATAAAATTTTTATGGGTAAAATAAATTGGTAGTACAAATTTGTCTAGATATCTAAACATGAAATTTTTTTTATATATTTGGTGCTCTTGAAATAAATTTATACAAATTTAACCTAACACACTTTTAGATTATATTTAAAATAACATTTCACTTGGTTGCTTTTTTAATACTTTCATGACAAATATCAATAATTAAGTGACTATCAATGTTCAAATATCTAATAATTATATTTATTCCCCCAAGCTTACGAATCTCTTTATTTTTTGGTTTTTCAATTGTTAAATTATTGGAGAATAAATTTACTCTAATCTTAACATAATTTGCGCATGCTTTAAGCCAATTATTAACTAGAAAATTATCAGTACTTAGGTAGTCTTTATCGATATATGACGTCGATTTCTGAATATGAATAAAGATCAATAAACGATCAAATCGCAGTTTTAGTCTGTTTGCATTGTCTGGAAATAACTGTTTTAATAGGTTAGTTATTTTCCTTTAAATGATTTACTGATATTTGTTATCTTGCATTAAAGCTTATATCTCTCGCCTTGCCATTTTTTTTATACGGACAAACAAAAATAAAGATTGTGTGGTATGTATGCGTCTCATAAAATTTTGCGAGACCTGGAATGATTAGACGAATCTCAAGCAGTACCTAGGGAGAATGACTGGTTCTTATAGAATTTGCAATCTCACAATGACTTAGTACAACTGAGAATTCACTTGAGAATAGAGATAGTATACGAATTGCCATTACAAAGCTTATCGCAGCTGAACTTAATTGTGATTGTGTCTGATAAGACCCGTTTCGTCATAATATAAACGTGAGGCGCGGAGCCAAGACGTCAGAAGTCCGACAAACCGCAACACGTAAACAATGCTTCCCACTTGGCTAACCGAGGAGTACCTGCAGCCCAGGCTGAGGGCCTACTGCAAGGACGAGCAGCTGAGGATCCTCAAAATCTGGTCCAAGGCAGCGACTGGAAAGGGTGAGAACTTCGTGGGCATCATGACCCGCATCCACGTGGACTTCCAGCTGGGCGATGGATCGGTGCAGAATAGAACCTTCATCGTCAAGCAGGCCCTTCCCACGGATGTTCCCCAGGCCGAAGTCTTCTTCGAGTACGATCTCTACACTAGAGAGATGGACATGTACGAGTTCGTGCTGCCCAAGATGAAGGAACTGCTGGAGGAGGCCGGCCTTGAAGGAAAGCTCACTGCGGATGCCATCGCCGTGGACCGGGAGCACAGCACCATGATTCTGGAGGACCTGGCACCGTACAAGTACGTCAATGCGGACCGAGTGAAGCTGTTGGATCTGGCTCACACCAAGCTGACGCTGGAAATGTTGGCCAAGTTTCACGCCGCATCCATCATCCTAAAACAGCGTCATCCGGAGCTCCTGACCAAGTGCTTCTCCACTCACTTCTTTTCGCGGGACAAAAAGGCCTACTCGGAAGTGTATTTGGGCATGTTCAGGGCATTCTTGAAGTTCATAAACGGCCATCCAAACTTAAAGAAAAGCTATGCCGACAAGTTGGAGAAATTGCGCACCCACATCATGGAGTACGGAGCTCGGGTCTATGATGTGGCCGATGGGGAACTGCAGACGTTGAACCACGGCGATTGCTGGACCACCAACATTATGTTCCAGTACGACAATGAGGGAATTCCCCGGACAGTCGTCGCCATAGATTTTCAGTTCAGCAACTGCACCTCACCGGCCATCGACTTGCACTACTTCTTCACCACTTCGCTGAGGGAGGAAGTGCAGAATAAGGAGCCCGAACTGGTTGAGCATCATTACAACGCTTTGAGAGCGAACCTCGAAAAGTTTTCGTATAAGGGATTATTTCCCAGCCTTCAGGAGTATAAACTTCAGTTTGAGCGTCGTCGTTTTATGAGTAAGTAAATGAAGATATACCAGCGAAACACATAGCTAATACCTTTATAATTTCTAAGGTTTGTTGGCGCATCTCTTCAAGCCTGTTATGATCTACAATGGCAGTGAGGAAACCTCGGACTTTTCGAGTTTGTACAAGGAAACCACCGAAGGACTTCGATTTCAGAAATCCGTTTATGAAAGTGAAGTGGTGCTCAGAAGTGCAACCAAATTGTTAGAAATTCTAGATAGCAAGGGACTTTTGGATCTTCAGTAGGCTAAGATTGGTTACTTTAACGAATATGTGCAATAATTTGTAAAGACAATTAATAAAAATGTATATAAATACACAATTAAGTGATAAAGCTTTTTGTTTTCTTTACTATTTGTCATAGCTATTATAAACTTTTCAATATTAATTTACGTAAATATATATACATTTTTGTAATTTTTGTATTTATTATTTTAAAATTCCATCCCCTAAATTAAAGAAAATTTAAGGAAATTCTAGATAACAATCAATGTTTTTTATTTATTTTATTTGATTATGAAGGGGTAGTCTACGGATTGCAATTAAGGTAGGTACACTAATATTGTTTGTATACAGAATTATATGAAAGCGGTAACTTCCTTAGATAAGCTATCAGCAGACATCAAATTACTTTAGAGTGCCATATAAGAGCGTTTCGTCATTTTGGCGTCATTTTGTCGTCAATTTAAGTGTGGATGATTAAGTGTGATAGCCTTCCGCCAAGAGTGAAAACAGAGAACTCATTTTATGTGACTCAAGTCCCCGGGTAGACAAGGCGGAAGCTCTGTGCCAATTTCTGGCAACCCTTGGCCCAATGTGCGGAGCTTTTCCACCCCAGCTTCAGTGATAAGAAAGCTCAGCACAGCTGATGGCCCAGACCCAAAACAAAGTCGGAAGCGAGGGCCATGGCCTGTTGACGGAATGCGGCGCCTTCAGTTGCCTCTTGTGTGCCACGCGGCGTATACGCAACGCGAGCTCCGCCACAGTCAGAACCATAATCGGGCAGATATATAGACTGAGGCGAGGCTATATAAGCAGGGGATGCGCACCGAAAGCCAACAGATGGTCGCTGACTGTGCACGCGTGTGGTTATCGGAGATCAGTAAACAGCCAAACTAAACACCGAAAGTTATTGTAATAAAAACGCGGGGAATAAGCGAAATAATCAAAATGCGACCGCTTATTTATTCAGAATTTTGAGGCGGCCAAATGCGGAGGCCCAAAAACTCTTTGGATCTACACGGAATTCCGAATTCTGAGAGGTATGCCCTCGGCGCTGTGTTTTGTGTTTGTTTCCCCAACAATGTGCCGCCATTAAAAAGTTGAAGGCGTGAAGATTTCGCACGGAGCCTCGACATTTACGACCATCCGTACCCTGCTCCGTAAGTGGGCCGCGGAAATTCGCTAATGGCCTGCCGGACGCTCCGCAGTTGTCGGCATTTATTATGATTATTTTCCCGAACGCGCTCCAATGAATCTGAACTGCAAGCTACGAATTAATCGAAAGAAAATATTATTCCGCCGCGAGTCTCCCGGGAAAACAAATCTTTGGCGTCCGAAATGCCAAGTGACGTGTGCGGCCAAGAAGCAGAATCAATAGTTTTCCAAACTGCGGGGCAGTTGATGTGCTCAGTTCCACTCAATGAAATATTAATGAATGTGCATCGCGCGTAATGAGATGTAAACGAGTGCTGCAGTTCAATACAAATTACAACCGAAAGGCAATTTGCCTAATGGCATTATTAATGGTCTTTCAATAATGAAGCATTATTCCAGCAATATATTGAAGCCATATTTTGGGCATACAAATACTGACAAGAATTGTGCTGCAATTATAATTATAATGACATGAAGGAATAACCATCTGAGGCCAACAAATTGAGTCCGGCAACTTATGTGAAATAATTAAGAAAGAGCTTGTGTCGTACTTATTTATTGCTTTTTTACGGAAGCAAAATAGCTTTGCAATGTGCCTTTTGAATATAAATTTAAAATTGAAGTTTTTTTTTGTAAAAAGTGTATATAGTTATTTTAAAACAATACAAGTAGCAGTGTACCTATGTAGCAGCTTGAGCAGGTTGTAAATATAGGGGGAAACAAAAATTAGGTATACCAGATTACACGAGATTTTTTTTTAATTTCTAATTTCTACTTTAATTCCTTTAAACTTTTAAATGTTAAATTTAACATGATCTCCCATGTGTGTGGTATCTTTTTAATATTATTTTTCTCGGTCTTTATGTTAGACTTTTGCTAGGGAGTTAAAGTTTGACCTTGTTTCCTTCTATGTCTATAGTTCTCATAAACCAGGTGGCGTTACAAATTGATCTAAAGATTTGATTTTATGCTACTCTTATTTGATTAAGGTTAGATTTAGCCGTTATTCCGTAGACTTGCAGCCCATATTTCAAAATATGTTGCACAATGAGAGCTTATTTCTTGATGAAAGACCCCAAAAAAAGTGAAGTTAAAAATTAAGTTTAAAAAAGAAGGTTTTACTCATTTGCTACTGAACATGTTAAATTTGATTCAAGGAAAGTAAATTTCATAAGACATAAGACGTTGCCTTTTCAGATTTTCGAGACAATTTAAGTTAGTACATCATAATGGATTAACGCTCAGCAAAACATTGCTTAAGTGCGAAAAAACATCCTCAAAGTGCCCCAGAGCCCGGAAAATGTGCCAAAAGCTATGCATACCAATGCAGGCAAAACTGCGACACAACCCAAGGGCACTTAAAAACTGCAACAGTCTTGTGCAAACTTTTTTCAGAGTTGGGTGTTTCATGCACCAAGGATTAAGTTATGTCCCGAGCTTCGCTCAATTTCGAGAATTTGTGGAGCATTTTAATTAAGTTGATTATGCAAAGAGGCAGCTTGGCTGCTGTCAGCTGAACGGTTGGCAAAATTAAAAGCCAGATACTCGTGTCCCCTTAAGCCAGCACTTCCATAAGCAGAAATGTTTTTATTTCTTATGATTTTAAGACGGCAAAGACAACAGCGAAATCCCAACAGTGCAATCCAAATTGGAAACTAAATGAGCAACTGCTGCTGAAGCAGCCAGATAAACTAAGAGACATCCGTGTCACTCGCAGACGAAAAGACATCAACCGTCGGCCAGGAAGAACAATACTACATTCTATAGCGTATATATCCCCAGGGCGGAGGAGATTGCCAGAACGATGGTGAGTGTAATTGCAATATAAATACTTAAAGCCAGCCCAAGAAGCCATTTCGGAGTAGATGTCAAATGGAACGAAATTACTTTGTTCCTAAAATGAAAAAGTTTGTTCGAGTTGCTTTGGGGGGAATCGGTCTGTTTTGGCCATATGGCTGTGTAAATTCCCATTTGTTTGACATTTGCAGGATATACCGCGAAATTGGGGCCAATTTGCTGGGGAAGGAACCATACAAATTTCAAAATAATGCTCGCTTCTCGTGGGCAATTTAAAAAACTCGGAGAAGGCTTAAAAGTCGCGCAAAAGCATATCAATTTACGCAATAATTGCTGTCTTGGTTACACAATCGCAAAGCATTTTTGTGGGCATCATTTTTACGTACTATGAATTTTTATTTTTATCTCAAGAGAAGCCTAAGCACTTAGTGGCTTTTCTTTGACACCTAAGAAGTGCTAAGGGCACACGGAAAATGATTAAATTGCAAAGGATTCACACAAACGGGCGAGAACTTGTGTTCAGCTCTTAAGAAGCTTAGATGATTAATTCCCCAGAAACCCAGATTTGCACTCGGCCAGATGTGTCCGCTTAAGCACAGCACATAACTCTCGCAATGAATAATTTGGACTTGACCATCCGAACAGATGAGCCCAATTCCAACGGGATCTTACCTCTTTTATGTTCAAACCAAATCGACTTTAATTAATAAGGAAAATGTCCTGGGAGCAGGAAAACTGATAAATTCATCAGCCGGCAGGGGCCAAGAAGTATTTGCTGCAAACAAATCGCACAAGCAACAATAAAATTCATCTTGTTGTGGGCGAAACAAGAAGGCAGCCACAAATAAATCACAAAAATAGCTGAGTCAAAGTGCCAGCAGGCAACTGCTCCACCGGGCTTGAATCCTCTCGAAAACTGGTTGGCATTTAAAACCTTTGTCACGCTCCACTTATCCAGTGAAGCGAAAGGGCCAAAGGCACTCGGATTTCCAAAAATTAAACCAAATTTGTGACAACTGCCGATAACTTGAGGCTACTTTACATAATTCGCCTGGCGCGCACTTCCTTTTTTGTTTCAACCGAGCCGAGAAAACAGTTGCGAAGGGGAGAAATACATGGAAATTCAATTTGCACCTTGCAAGTCAATTCCTCGAAGTCGTGTTCGAACTGTGATTGGAACTTCTGCGACAAATTGGTGATCAACTTCGGGTGATGTTGTCCGGGCTTTTTATTGCTCCTTTTGTTGAGGGAAAACTTTTTTATTACGTCTTGGTCCAAGCCGGAATGGGAATCCCCCGGCTGTTTTCGGTTGATAGCGGCATACCATTTTACAATCTGGGCAGTTTTGCGGTCTGCAGACTTTTCCATTTAGCACTGGCCAATTTGGGGCTCCGATGTTTGAGTTGGTAGTGCAAATATTAGTCAATTAAGTGCCGGCCAACTTGAAATTGAATTTCCATGGTAACTGTGTGCTCGTCTCGTTTTCAGCACCACCGCCCTGCTATCTGGCGAGCAAATCCCCCGATTGGCAAGATTTATTAGCGCCTCATTTATCGCAGCTGTCAGGAGTAATGCATACCTTTAGGCGCCCCCATAAGTTTGTTTCGCCCACTTTCGGCCCAGCCATCGGCTTTTATCGATACTGACAAACTGACAAGTGCGCAGCCATTCGGCGCATAAAATTACACAATTATTTTTAGCAAATGTCGTCATTTATAACCTGGCCGTATCGGTATCTGTGTCTGAAGGCTGTCCCTCGACACCGCGATTTCTTGTTCTGGGAGCAAATGCCAGGCATCAAGCGCACATTTCCCCGGGAACAGCGCTTTTGACTTTATCCAATTAAGTGCATGTCTTGCCCTGATGTGCTGCATAAATTATGTCGCCATAATGCATGAATATTTACGAGGCAAAACAAGCAGCTAACTCTGATCCCTGGCACTGACGCATTTCAAATTGAGATATTGCACAGACTCGCACCGAAACGAACAGGCTTTTTGCGGAATTAAAGGAATGGGCAAAACTTTAAGACAAAGCCAAAGATTTAATTTGCGATCCAGGTCCCATGAGCCATGACCTTTGTCTGTGTTCAAAAAGGCATTAAAAGGCAAATACCAAGGCTGTTTGAACTTTTTATCAAGCCCTGAGATCTCAACTCAGTTATTAATTTTGCGCACAGGAAAATGGGCTTACCATCAAGATTGCATGAAATCCTGTGCACGGCAGTTTGGTTTCTAGCATGAGAGAAGTAAGTGAAGTCCAAAAAGTCTGAACGTTATATGGCTTTTCGACTCCAAATTTATTTATTTATTGATTTTTGTACTATCGAAAAGAGAGGTTTCAAGGTTTAAGTTCCTAAACTTTTAGGAAATCGAAATTTGGTTAGGATTCTGTAAACAATACATTTTGTTTTATATTTCTTTTACTGCTTTGAATTCAAATATCATACACCAAATATAAATTAATTTATCTATATTTCTGTGAACATATACATATGTTGCTTTAATAAAGATTCAGATAAAATAAAGTTTAGTTAAAAATAATACATTACTTTTGAACACCAAGCATTTTTTTTTAATTTGGGTGACTAAGATTTTAACCGAAATTTTTCGCAGTGCTTGCCTGCCAAGGAGGCGTCAGAACTTCTAGTCATGTCGAATACCCATAGAATCCTTTGGTGCTGGGCCACCTACTGGCACTGAACAAACTTTTCATAGGAATATTGCCCCATATTTTTCAGGTGGCCCCATAAACCAGTAGCAATTGCCTGAAATGTGTGTGTGGCGTGTGCTGCAAGCCAATCTCATAAATCATACGTGATGTGGCACGCAAGTCGCTTCCTCCTGCCTCCTGAAAGTTGCATATTTTGGGTGCTGAATTTAGATGTAATGAGACTCCGTTCTCCCCCTCTGTTTGCCAGATAATCAGCATGAACCAGACGGAGACCGGGCCATTGGCAGCTGGGGAGCACCTGAGCGGCTATGCCAGCAGCAGCAATAGCGGGAGGTACCTCGACGACCGGCATCCCCTGGACTACCTGGACCTGGGCATTGTCCACGCCCTCAACACCACGGCCATCAACACCTCGGAGCTGAACGAGACTGGGAGCAGGCCGCTGGACCAGGTGCTCATCGGCAGGTTCCTTAGCAACCGGGCCGTGGACAGTCCCTGGTACCACATGCTCATCAGCATGTACGGCGTGCTGATTGTGTTCGGCGCACTGGGCAACACCCTGGTGGTCATCGCCGTGGTCCGGAAGCCCATCATGCGCACAGCCCGGAACCTGTTCATCCTGAACCTGGCCATATCGGGTGAGTTTGCCACCGCTACTCTCGGCCGGAGGAAATCCCTGTCTCATCCGAGCGGACTTTTTAGACTTACTTCTATGCCTGGTCACCATGCCGCTGACCTTGATGGAGATCCTGTCCAAGTACTGGCCCTACGGCTCCTGCTCCATCCTGTGCAAAACGATTGCCATGCTGCAGGCACTCTGCATTTTCGTGTCGACAATATCCATAACTGCCATCGCCTTCGACCGCTATCAGGTTAGTCCTTGTTCGAGCCTTTTTAATGCCAACATTAGTATGTAAATGGGGCCAAGGCCAATCGAATGGGCCGAGTCATGCCCCGATATTAATGAGGAAAATGGCTTCAATTTGTAATCATTAAATTTGACGTTGAGGGAAAATCGATGGGCTCTGAGTAAATATTTGGCGATTACACGAATGCTTAACCCACTATTAAAGTGGTAATTATAAATGGCTCGAAACGGGGTTATTAAAGGGAATAAAACAAATTATCCATGGGTCGGAAATTAAATAAGGGGTCGTTAAAAAATAATAAAGCAGATTACAGTTTTATTTTTACTTCACAAGTGATGGCATAATGATAGCAAAATGAACAAAAAAGGTAATTTCAATTTTATATATTATGTTTAATTTTTAAAAAGCACCGGAAAATTGAAATTTCCTTCGAGATGTCAATTGCCTTTTCTTATTTTATAGGTCAGTTATATGGGTTAGTGTAGGGTTCTGATATTTGACTATTTAAGGTGGGGTTGGCTATACAACACTTGTCTATGTTTTTTAAACAGTCTTTTCATATATAAGGTAATGAAAGTATAATAATATGTCTTATCTTATGTGATTAAACCAATAATTCCTTTCAATGAAATCATTCTTACAACTAACTAATACTTAACACTAGGTGTCTAGCATAGGTTGGTCCATGATTGATCCTCTGCGTTACCATTGGAGTTACCCGAGTTATCTCTGAATCAACTCCTGACTTTGCTTCCAGGTGATCGTGTACCCCACCCGGGACAGCCTGCAGTTCGTGGGCGCGGTGACGATCCTGGCGGGGATCTGGGCCCTGGCCCTGCTGCTGGCCTCGCCGCTGTTCGTCTACAAGGAGCTGATCAACACGGACACGCCGGCGCTGCTGCAGCAGATCGGGCTGCAGGACACCATCCCGTACTGCATCGAGGACTGGCCGAGTCGCAATGGGCGCTTCTACTACTCGATCTTCTCGCTGTGCGTGCAGTACCTGGTGCCCATCCTGATCGTCTCGGTGGCCTACTTCGGGATCTACAACAAGCTGAAGAGCCGCATCACCGTGGTGGCCGTGCAGGCGGCGTCCGCCCAGAGGAAGTCGGAGCGCGGCCGGCGGATGAAGCGGACCAACTGCCTCCTGATCAGCATCGCCATCATCTTCGGCGTGTCCTGGCTGCCGCTGAACTTCTTCAACCTGTACGCGGACATGGAGCGCTCGCCGGTCACCCAGAACATGCTGGTGCGCTACGCCATCTGCCACATGATCGGGATGAGCTCGGCCTGCTCCAACCCGCTGCTCTACGGCTGGCTCAACGACAACTTCCGTAAAGAATTTCACGAACTGCTCTGCCTCTGCTCAGAACCCACTAATGTTGCTCTTAACGGTCACACGACAGGCTGCAACGTCCAGGCGGCGCGTCGGCGTCGCAAGCTGGGCGCCAACCTCTCCAGGGGCGAGCTCAAGCTGCTGGGTCCGGGCGGCGCCCAGAGCGGCACCGCCGGCGGCGAGGGCGGCCTGGGTATGGCGGCCACCGACTTCATGACCGGCCACCACGAGGGCGGACTGCGCAGCGCCATCACCGAGTCGGTGGCCCTCACGGAGAACATGCCCTCGGAGGTCACCAAGCTGATGCCGCGGTAAAGCCCAGGGTACTCTTACGGTCCAGTCCGCATCTGCATCTGCATCTGTCTCTGCATCTGCATGCCGCCCACCTTCGAAGGACATCCGTGTCCTTTTGTGCGCCCCTTGGGCTGATTGGATTTGCATGCTCCAAGCGTCGCTGCTGCTCCCTTTTACGTCCCACTTGTTCCGACTGCCATTTCCAGTGCACACTGGTAACAATCAGAGCTATTCAGATTCTATACTGCACTTCCGCACGGGGTCTCAAAGTCGTTCTAAATTGAAGATGAGGTTTCATATCGTTTCGTTACACTCCGGTTACAGAGTTACAGAGATAGGTACACCTATGTTATATATGGTAAATTCACTTCTTCCTCTAGGTAATATTTATCATAAAGAAGGCAAAATCAACAGTACAGGGTTATCCATTTAGTTTAAATATCGTTTTTTATTCTTTGAATTTAGTTCTTCCAGCTGGATTTATATTGCCTTAAACTTATTATGTACATGTTTCGATTTGAGGCTGTTCAATTTATCTCCGCTTTTACAATTCACATTAAACTCACTTCCAAAAATATATCTCTTATTTTACTTAACTTACAAACATTTTCACAATTCTTAAATATAATTATAAAATTTTAAAAATTTCAATTTTTGTAAATAATTAAGAACAGGCAGAATTGAGAATATGATTCTTATTTACAGTAGAGACTTATTATTCCTGGTTTAAGGTGTTTGCTCTTCAAACATAATTTGCTCTCGGTTGACTATGATTTTTTCCCAGTGTATGCATGCGCTTGCAATTCCTTTTATCGTTGCCTTGTCGAGCTGTAACTCTTGTCGTTGCCATGTTGTGACATTATTTGCTTTGAGCAGCCATCGATTATGACCCTGCTTTTGTGACACATTTTCAGTTTGGAACAGTACTAAATTGGCAATCAATCCTGGAGCAGCGGGAGGCTGGAGCAGCGTTCGAGTGAAGAGACTTCCAACTCGCTCTTAGAATTTACGGAAAACACATATTGTCCAGTGATCCAAAGCCAAGCTGAGTTACACCTAATTTAAGACACATAACGAGTATAAATCTCGAAGCCTGTAATCTATTCCTAATTGAGCATCTCATCGCATTCATCGTCAATGTCGGACTAAGTATTAGGCCCACTTTGGTTTGATCACTTTCCTATCGAATGCCGGAAAGTAATTGATTGAGCCCCCAATTGGATTTCGGGTATTTGATAAGTCGAATACACCTAAGACCTCGAATAAGTTCCCTTCAAACAGTTCCTAGGCTATATTTTCAGTTTCTCGCAGAGCTATGTATTTCTTGTTATCATCTAAGATTAGGATTAGTTATAATTGATGTTCAGTTCTTTATTCTCTAATAATAGGTTAACTGAAAGCCCACAAAACACAAGTGAGTTTATAATATAGTCCATAAATGTAAAAAAACTTTGAAATAAATGTCAGCAGCTCTAAAAACATCCGAAGCTAAAAAGTTTCCATGTCTGTCAATGGCAGACTTTACACAAAAACTACAAAATATTTTAATAAATGTTGTTTACAAGTCCTGCATAATAAAGCTGTTTCATTTAAAAAAGACGAAATTGTTCCATAAATGCGAAATGCGAGTGAAGTGCCAATTAGGGATTCCAGATAAATTGCATAGAGTGTGCTAACTAGAATGCTGAAGCGCTCTTATTAACATGGAATTTCTGATTGTTTCTTGTCGAAAACAATTAAAATAACATGTACTTTAGAGGTATTAAATCAAATAAGTATAACAAATAAAAAAGATAGTCTGCTGGAGAATACTCGAAAGGAAAAAAGAGCTACAATTTTTGTTTAAAGATTTTTAAGCATTGCAGGAATGAAACTTGGCATGTTTCTTAAATAAGTTTTCAAACAAGGGACATCGTGTTTACCAGTTTAACAACTCAGCTATAAACAGCAGCTGACCCGGCGAACACTTAACCTTTGACACTTTTGTGGGTTCGAGACACTCAAGCAACCGCAGCATAAAAACCTACGACCCATAAAAATAGCGTTTAAGCATGCGAATTGTAAGTATGCCTATATATAGACACTGCCATAAGGAAGTTGGAGGACCACAATGTCTGTTCTCCAAAAAGGTTTTGTTTACAAATATGTTTAGTGTATAAAAATATGAGCCATTGAAACTTGAACGTGTGATATAAAAGCAAAACCATTGAAACTTAAATCTGGGCCCCAATTAAGGCAGTCTCGGGTCACTAATAATAAACTCATTAGTCCGCATTTTTCGGAATGATTTCTTGATAGGCGTCAGGTAAGGGAAATTAGTGTGTGATTACAATTCAATTAGGGCCTACGCATCGCCGTGGGCGAAAGGTCAGTCACCATCTCCTCTTATTCGCAGCTCGGTTCGCAGTACGCAGTTCGCAGTTCGCCGACGTGTGACACAAACGTGACCGGTGGCGAGTGAATTATGTATCACCGAAAAAGTGAAATGTTCCCACCAGGCAGCGTGAAAAATGAAACAAAAATAAAACAAACTAATTAAAAATTTCTTTGGGGAATGCGTGATGCGACAGGTGGGGCTGCTGTAAAGCCGTCAACGGGCAGTTGGCCGTTTGTTTTGACGGCCTGTAACGGACCTATGCACTTACTTGCGGCTTGTGAAAGTGTTTACCTTACTTTTTGTCACTGTCAGCCGGCTCCGCACCTTCCTCCCCTCCCTGGGTCAACACCACCATCTCCATTTCCATCTCCATCGAGTGCTGATTATGAAAACCCATCTCACTTTCTTCTCATGCAGATTGCGCAATGCTGACAAACGAATTCTGGGTGCCATTGTATCGCCCAAATCGATGGATTCGCCGGCATCGAAGTTTTACGGAACCAGCGTGAGCTGGCAATTAGCATATTTATGAGTAAAAGTGAAATTAATGATTGGAATAAAATTCAAAGCAAAGGTTCGCAAATATTTGCGGTAAGCCGAAGACCCTCTCTGCATACCAATTGGTCGGACTGAGATTCAGATTCAGATCCAGAGTGAGATATAACGTAATAGTTGTCTGAGCTCGGGGCACTTAAGTCTTTACATCTGCGCTGCTGTTGGACACATGTCAGTGGCAAATGATGGAGGATATTAGAGGCAGTCGAGGGCTTTCTTTGACATCTTTGGCGGCTCTTTAATAGGCGCTAAATGAATTCGCTTCGAGCACTTTCACACGGGGATGGCCAATAGGGGCGTTCGCCAATAGTTCAACCATTGTCTGGGCAAAGAAGTTGGCCCCGATTTGCGTTGCTTTTTAGAAAACATTGCTCGGACCATTGTTACACCGAGAGTGGCTATTGATTTTGCGGTCCCATAAACTGGCTTTCATTTCGTTTTGGCTTTTGAGCTTCTCAGTGGTTCAGTGGTTCGGAGGCTTGCTGCTAGGGAGGTGGGTAGGTGGGGCGTTTCCGCTTGTTAGCCACAAGTCAATGGCAAAGTTTGTCACCAGAAATTAATAACAAAGTGACGCTCAGTTGGCCAATTCTTAACTACGACTTTCTCATGCGTAAACCGGCCAACGAAACCCGTTCACAGATCAAACGATGCACACTAATAAATAAGTGAAAATCTGCTAACTCTGTACGCTGCTGAAACTAGTTCAGATTGAATATTTATAGAAATCGAAAATGCTTGGCAGATGTTCACAAATGCATGTTGCATGTTTCACATGCTGCTGTGCTCGGCCTCCCTAATCCTCAAATTCCCACGACGACAACATGTGCATTGCAAAAAGGCAGCTCCCATCTGCCATTATTGGGTCTGCGAAAAGGACTGAAATTTATTGAAGCCAGAAAGGAAGCTATTGTCCTGTGGGCTTATTCCGCTTAAAAATCACTAGAGCATGGTTGCTTTGAGCCATGAAACCCACAAACTTAAAAAGCTTGCAGCCAGAACCTTTGTCAAGAAAATCTGGAAACGTGTAACCAAGTTTTCATCAAAATTTGAGGCTTAAGTCCATATATTTGTATTTTTTTTAAAAATATTACCTTGTTATGTTACAAAATCAGAGCCCTGTCAGCTATTCGTAATATTGTAGTTAGAACCAAGCTTTAATAAAAATAGTATAGTCATTTTACCCATTTTAATATTCATTATTTAAATTGTTCTTAAAATAGTAATGCTAAGGCAAATGAGAAATCTTCAAGTACATTTACAGGGGTATATCTCCTCATTACTTACAGAAAATATCATTATCTTAATAAAATTTATTTAGTAATTTTATACTGCCCACCGCTCTACCGCTTTTAAGTTTATTAAATTCGGAAATCCATACTTGTTTAGCAATTTGCAATATTAATTATTTTGAATCGAGCGCAAATTGCGTGGCGAAGTTCAGTGTTTCCAAAGTTTAACCGTCGCTTCTGGCGGGGAAAAACACACAGAAACAAATTGTAACAAATTAAATAAAGTTGGCGTCAACTCTTGGTCAAGTTTTTCAACAGAGATCCCACAGCTTCCCTCTTGGAGCACAGAAAATCGAAAGTTCGACTAAGTCAGCGACTGACTGACTAAGTGACCGCTTTCCGTTAGCATATGGTGACGCTTATTTTGCGCCATGACTTGATGTATTTCCAGCGATTCATATATATTCACCTTTAAAATTGCCATGTAATTTCACAACGACAGGGTTTGTATTTTTTTATTATTGTCCAGAGAGTAGCAGTTTTCATTAGCGACTAATTTCCCGTGTGCAAGAGAAAATTGGGATCCACTGATGCGAATGTACACTGGGATAATATTCTTTGAAGGGAAAATATGTTTTTTATCAAGTGTGTAAATATCTTTTAGTTTAAGTTTGATAACTAGATATTTATTTATACAACATATTTAAAAAATTGAATATATTTGATTACTATATTTTACTCTTGAAATATTCAAATCCACGCATCCACACTTTTTATGGTAGTTGGCTCCTATGGGCCATTTATTTCTATGAAATTGTACTATATATTGTCAATTTAAATGTACTATTTAATTAAAATTTTGTAATAAAAAACTTAACATTTGTATTAAAGAATAAAACCTTTTTCTATTACTACTGCTGGATATTAGTCCTTATATCATTCAGGTAATCAAAGTATATTTAAAAGCTAATTAAATTACTAAAGAAGCCATTAAGATGTTTATTTTTCATTGAACTAATATTCGAAAGATTCCCGTTTTATCCAGTGTAGTTGGCGACATTGTCGCTCGTCTTTGCCGCTGGCTGTTGCCTGCGGCTTTTGGCCGGCTCAAAGACTTGGCAAGCGGCGCTCTTAAGCCGCTCTTCGCTACGTAAGCGAAGTGGTCCGCTCGCGTAGCGCTACGTAAGGCCCAAACTGGTTGATCGCACCCGCCGTTTGGCTTTCGCCCGGCAGTCCAAATCTTCGCGAGCTGAGCGACAGACGCAAACGCGCGAGAAACCCGAGAAACGCTTGTTACCGATCGCAAATCCCATCGATTACAATAACTGCCAAAATACTGGCAATCAGCGGCGTGTGCTGCACCAGTTCAAAGTGGGGGCCATTGTTTGCAGGGGCAAACACACAGTGTTCAGTGGATTAAAGTGCTGTTAAAGTGAAACGAGCTGCGGCAATTGCATTGACAAAGGAAGTGGGCAAAGTGAGTGAACGGGTTTCGGCCAGTATTTTCACCTGGCCAAATCAGAGAGCCGACACAGCGCGTCAGTGAATGCAATTCCGATTTCGAAACACACAGAAACGAAAGTCTGGCGAAGAAAGTTCTCCGCCGAATGCAAAAATTTAATTACCAAACAATTTGAGCTCCTGAAGGAATTACACAGCCTTGCCAGCGATAAGGTAAATTGAGATGTTATTGATGGCCGCCCGTGAGTGGCCTCATTAATCACCAGTGAGACACAGATCCTCCGTGCAATCTTTATTCACGAGTCTCGATTCGAACAATTAATGAGTTATTGCCTGCGCCGGGAGAAGGTTGTTACCACCGACAAAACAGAAAAGAAACCGATTGTTAACATTTCCCTGTCGACACTGTTGTTGCTGTTCACAGCCATTCATTCCGCATTTGTATCTCCGAATCTTCGAGTGTGCGAGTCTCACACTGTGTGGGCCAGAGCTGGCCGCTAACTTAATAGAAAAGCTCGGCGGCTCAGTAATTAATTGTCGAGAGATGTTATGTAAGCCGAGCAGCTGGCCTACCCCAACTGGCCAAAAGGGAATCATCTGCTCAGCACGGCCGGCAATCGAAGCGTCGCCAAATGTTTAACGATACTTTCTTTTTTCGGCTCACAGCCCGTAAAAATGCGTCGAAGAAAGCCCTCGTCTCAGTCCATCAACTGCAAAATTATGAAAATGATACGAGCGGAGGAGTGAGCCACACAGAGACAAATTATAGACTTGATATTTACACTCAATGCCATTGTTAAAAATATGTTTTTGTTATTGTTAAAAAGCCTACAATTCCAAAACAAGATAATCTGTGATTTTACCGTCTAATGGTGACATTTCTAATTTATAACTCTAATAAAATTCAACCCATTTATTTAATAGAAATTTCATAAGCATAGTCAAACAGAAAGCAAGCTTTTTTAGAAAACCATAAATGTAAAAAAATATGTAAGCTTATTGTTTCTTTTATTCTAATTCCAAAACACTATCAGGGGAACAGAACAAAATTCATTCATTCAACTTAAAAAGTACACAACATGTCTGATATTGATCAAAAAATCCTCAATCTTGGCAAACAATTTTAATAAATTAATAATTTAAATGAAGGCATACAAACTTTTCCCTGTGCAACCATCATTGCATTTAATCGGACTGCAGAGCACAAACTCGTATTAATTTCCAGTGGGCCATGGAATTGTGGTTAGTGGTGCAGTGGTGCAGCTTAGTGAAATGCGAGTGGGCTGGGAGGAAGATTCAGTGGCAGAGGCACATCCTCGTGAGTCATGAGTGTTTTCCCAGTGGCGAGCCATCCGCACGACTCGCACTTTCATTTTGCCAGCTTTTAAATCTGGCTTGCTGGAGAATGGAGGAGCAACTTTCTTGTCGAGAGCACTCAAATCAACCGACAGATGCAGATGCAGACCGCACTCACACTTATTTTCCATATGGAAGTGCTGTCGCTCTCCATCCTCGCAAGATGGGCATGACAAAATGGTTTCACGGGCACTTGAATTCGGCTTAATTTGGCACTGGCGGCGATTTAAATGTCGTTTGAGTGAATTTACAGCTAGCAGCGATTGCATCACTCGCGGACTGCGAGCGATTTTAATTTGGGCTTACAGCACCGACTTAATGACATAAATAGCAGTCGACTTTCTAAAGCCCAGCGGAATGGCAGAAACACCTCCCAGGTGCTGGGCACGCATGTAAATCACTAAATTCAAGTGAGTGGCAACCGAGGAGCGACAACGCCCGTAAAACAATCAGCTCTTAATGGGCCTGCTAACATTGCGCCCAAATTGGCGGCTAATTGGCGAAAACAACATTCCATTTGACTTGGCCCGGAATGATTGGATTGCATGGTTTTTAGGGGGATCAGCTGAAATCGAAAGTCCTACCCCGGAATCGATTAAAGCCATTCCGAGGAGGTCTGGGCCAAGTTCCTCACGTAGCGACCATTATTTCGCTTTCGAGTGAGAGCCGGTAAGTCGAGAAAACAGCTTGTTGAAGCCATTCTGGATTTGCCTGACAATATTTACGTGTGGGACTTAATGTTCGACGCAAAGCTGCCAAAGATTATAGAGTGACGAAGGTTTCGCACTGTAAATACATATTCAATAAATTCTAAATTCAGCTTTTTATCGCTTGTGCTTTATCAAAAAGTGAAGGAAAGGTTACTTTAAAAAGCAAACCATTGCAAGCTGTCAAAAAATGACAGTCGTTTCAGAAACGTTATAACATGAATGAATATGGAATACGCAGATCAACTAAATCCTACCGATTTTAAAATGAAGTTTCGAGTAAAATGCGTAGTTTATCTTTAATTTTATTTTTTCTGTCCATCAATAAATCTTTTATTTAAATAATTTCTATACAATTGTACTTCTATACATTTTTAAATGTGTTAAGTAAATAAAGAGTATTTTTGAAAATGAAGGTAGTATTTTTGGGCCTCAAATTAAACCAGATTTAGACCACAACATGTTTGTAGAAAATTACAATATTTTTCATTTACTAAATTGTCTTTCTATGAAAATGAAAAATGAATGAAAAATGAGTAAATATGTAGTGCTCCCTACAACTAAGCTTGACTCGAAATTATGAACTACCACAAAATGTTGACTTTCTCGCCCATAATTCCCATTTATCCGACACAGCCAGACTCAATCTGTGGGTGAATGCACCTGCCACCCGACCACAACAGATGGCCAAATGGCTTTCCCTGGGTCTCGGCCAACTTCTGGTCTCGGCCAACTTGTTCTTGGCCTTTGTTGGACTTAACAGTTATGTCACATACTAACAGTTACGATGCAATGCGTTTACGAGCTCTTTCGACCGTTAGTGGACGCTGTTTGTCAAACTGGTTGTCATCGTCTAAGTTCAGTACTTTGTGAATTCACGGGTTTTTTAAGAGCGTGTCGCAAACAATGATGGCCAAGCAATGATGGCCAGCTTATTAGCCCCGTGACCTTCCTTTTATGGAGCCAAAGCCAATGGTAATATGGAGCATATGCGGCCGAGACATCGGTTTCCATTAGATCAGAACTCGGCAAACTTTTGTGACTTAATTGGGAAACTTCGCCTCGGATGAGCGCGGATGCACGGCGAACAGAGTAATATGGTAAAAGCAGGGGAGGCAGAAATCTGATTAAACGCTGCCTCCTCTGCTGCCTCGACTGTTCTGCGAAAAGTTTGCCTAAACTATATCAGAGCGGAATATCAGAGCATGAAGGTAGACCGAGCACAAACCATAACTAAGTCTCCACAAAGGGAGGCGGGCGGGGAGGGGCGTGGCTCAAAGGGTTGGAACAGGGAGTTCTAATTGTAATGTTAAAAACTAATTTGCATGATGCCATTGCCATGGCCCAAACGGGCGCACTCTCTGAATAATTAATGCAGAAAAAGTGCTGGGCTTATAGCTGGGTGAGTATAAAGCTTAAATCGCCCGGCGATACTTTTTTGATAAAATATTTAGACAGCCGCACAAATAAAAGGAATTCTCCCTAACAAAAAGAGCAAGCTGATAAATGATGGTCCCTGATGGGCTGGCAATGATCTTAATGTTTCCATTAGCGGCGGACTTTTTGGCTTACTGTCTGCTCAAATCCCCAGATGCAACTTGATGCTCAAACAAAGCGAGTTGAACAGTTGTGACGGGTACAAACAACCGCACTGCATGCCATGGGAAAATTCCCATTCCAAGAGCACCGAGCTGAAACAATTTTCAATCAGTCAGTTTCTATTGAATACGAATCACTGAAGGTGTTTAAAACAGCAAAACTCACAAACAGAAACTAGTATTTGTTTGCCAGACTGTACAATCATATTATTAGAAATTAAATTGCAGACTTAATCTACTTACGTTGAAAATTTTACATTAATTTGATTTTGAAAAATAGAACAACACACAACTACATTGAAAATTTTGTTTGTAATTATTTGTATAATTTTTCTTTTTTATACCCGTCTTTCTGTCCATCTGTCCGCTTCTACGCAAACTAGTGCAACAGTTTTAAAGCTATTTAGACTTAACTTATAAGTCTATATAACTAAATATAGATCCTATAGAAACAATCGGGAACAAAAGTGAAATATAATTATATATTTGTTGTTTCTTAACATATACTCACAGATAAACCTTTATTTAGAAATTTTCAAAATTCGGTTCTATTTTATAGCTGCCATAGGAACAAAGGGGACAAATATAATTAATATACTAATTTTAAACAATAATTGTAGTGTTAATTTAATTTCTTCTATAACACAACGATTTATTCCACTTTTAAACAATTTCTGATTTTATTCCTTATCTTTATAAAAATCGAACGACTACAGTGAACAGGACCTTATCGAAAAATAAACCTAGTTTCATTGTTTTTAAGAATTTAAATACAAATATGGAATAATTAAATTGTGTAACAGTGCAAGAGTATATAAACTTCGGCTTCGAAGGTCAAAATTTAAAATATTAAAGTTGATAACAATTTTAGCTTAAAGAGTTTACATGTTGACTTTTAAAAGTTTAAAATAATTTCAACTCAAATAGTTTCCCATTAAGGACTACTTATTTTTGGTGCAACAATTTTAATTAATTTTTGAAGAGAGAATAATGTTCTATCCGTTCCGTAAGTTTGGCTGACTTCCAAAACCTGTAAGTCGTTTCGGAATTGACATTACCCCCCTCTCGACGGTTTTCCAGTCCGGAAACATTAGAGAAGCGCGGATAATTAACTTGAAGCATTCTTACCACCTGCCAACATGTGTTTTCCAATTAAGCTCACAGTCTTTGATGGCTTTGCAAATAAATAAATTGCACAGAAGAACTTCCCCGATTCGCTTTGTGCAGCGCAATTGTTGTGCGCGATTTGCGGCTTTGCAGTCAGCAAACTCAGTTCTGTAATAGTTTTTCGAGCCATTGCCGCTCGCTGGGAAAAATCGAAAGTGAAAATGCAACACGAAAATAACGTGATCTGGACTGGGGTCCGAAGTCTGAAGGTAGCGCCGACGCATCTGAAGCGCCCAAGCTGAGTAAACACAAACAAAACAGTGTACATTTTCACTTTTCCCCAGCGGGCCTGGATGTGGATGGAATATGGCCAATGCGAATGCGAATGCTGCATAGCGTGTGGCGTGTCACAAAACGAGTGCGACGGATGGCAAAGGCAAATAAAAAGTTGGCGACGTGCTTTGTGTGCTGAAAGAGGACTGTTTTGAGGGGAGGGGTGGCTGGTGGTGGGCACGAGCCCCTCCAATTGAGATGCCCATCAGATGGGAAACGGCAAATCATTCACATTACCCAGTCTGATTAGCGCCTCGCTCCGAAACAAACAAAGTTGTTTAAAGTGCACTCCACAAAATATTTTAAAAATAATTTGTTGCTCAAACAGAAATCAGTTTTTTGAGGGAAATATAAATCATTGTGTTATAAAGCTATAAAACAATAGCCTGGGTTGATTTGAACAAATGCTAAAATGGTCAATGCTTTATTAAGGGTAAATAGGAAAAGTCATTTTTTTAATGGTTTTTAAAGCAGTGCACTGCTAAAATATATTTAATGAGCCAGCAAAATCATATTTTCCGTGGTGATTAGCGCAAAAAAAATATTTTTTTTTAAATTAGCTGGAATTCACGCACGAAGTCAGTAAATTGTGAAAATAATTTGTAGACGGGGTAATCAAAAAATAAATTGGATTAACCTGACGGATTAGTGAATGGATTTAGCAAAAACTGAAACCAAAAATATTTACAACACTTAAATGGCTTACATTGTTAAATTACTTTTTGCACGAAAAAAATTTTAAACATCAAGTTACTCCTGATAGAAATAATTTGAAGAAAAATGAAAAATTGAAAAGAAAGGGTTTTGGTTAAAAGCCTGTGTACATAAAATTACTGTATTAATTAAAATCACATCTTATGAATTCTAGAGCATTTTAAAAAATGCGAATAGTTGCAAATAGCACCATCTGTATCTCATTATTTTAAGCATATTGAAATTATGCCTTCTAATCCTGCTTATTACAAGGAAAATATACAATGGCTTCTGAGCTTTTTCAATGGTTTATACAATCTCAGATATATTTAAAATTGAATAATCGATTTTCTAGAGCTCGGAGTTGTTTATTCAGTTTAATTAAAAATAGCCTATATTCAGTAATTCAGTAAAAGCAGGTTCCTATTATAGGCCTCATTTTTTTAATCGATTTTACTTAATTTACTCGTTAGTATTCATAGCTTCAAAGCGCACACTTATGTCTAATTACCTTACCTCAAGCAGCAATTAATATACCAGGATAATTTAAAATTTTTTTAGATTAAAGATTATTCTTTGAAAATCTTATGAAAATCTATGAAAATCTGTTTATTTAAATGTTTGCTCTATTTTTTTTGACGAAAGTTGATAGTTCTAGCTTTAACATGGTTTACCTTAAACATGGTTTAAACCCAAACAACTTTTATTTTGGTGAATGGAGTGAAAAATGTTTCGCAACTGTACATCTAGTCGTCTTGTACCTTTATCCCTTCAAGGACGCACGTAATGCGTTTATCAGGTTGTGAATTTTCTTTGGCTGCCTGTCACGTTTCAAAAAGTTATTTATTCGTGTGCCAACCGCTGAGTTCGCGGAAATTGGCCAAACTTCCTCGCATCGAACAGCAGAATCCCCCTCTCAACAGCGCAATTATTCATTACAGAGAGCAGAGCTTAATCGAATCGCGGACCTTGGCATGCGAGTGCAGCTGCAAGGCGAAGGATAATGAAAATGTGTAGCCAGGCCATCGACGGGGCGAAATTAAAAGCAAACAGCCACAGAAAGCGGCGATGCAGTCCGCTGCTGTGCGGAATTATCCTGCTCTGCCAAGTAGCGATGATGCCAGCAGACGCATCGGAATCCGGAGCGCTTTATAGTCAACCCCTCACCACGATGGCTGGTCAGCCGCGCAACGACGACACCTTCCGACCCATCCTGCCCATCGACATCAGTCCGGAGTTCATTTCCCGCAATGTCTTCACCAAGTCGGGACAGTACAGGGTCTTCCAGCCGGCGGAAAGTGAGAGCGATCTCCGCCTGACGGTGGCCATGAGGCGCAGGAACTTCAAGCACCCATCGGAAAAGCCGCAAAAAGAGGAGCCCAAGGGTCCAACAGTCAACGCGAGCAACAGCTCTGCCTCAATCGAAGCCGAGTTGAAGGGCCTGGAGGATCTACTGGTGGACTATGTGGAGCAGTTCTTCAGCCAGGGCAAATTCGAACCCACTCCCGGCTTGGTCCTGGCCCTTCAGCAGAACCACTCGCACCCACAACTGCAAAATGGAAAGCGCACCACCCGCAGCATCCTGGAGGACACCAATGTTGAGCTGAATGTTCCCAGAGCTTTCGAAAGTGCCCGGTTGCTTTTCTTTAGCGGTAAGTAAAGGGCTTAAGCTAAAAAAAGTCAAATCATTGAAATTCCCAACGTAATTTATTCAATATTTATTGAAAACTTTCTTGAATGTTTTTTTACCTTAGTGCCATTTTGCACACCTAAACAAAGAAACCAGGTCATGTATTTCTTGCAATTAAAACATTTCATAAATTATTTGTTCTTATACTTAAAATGAAAATTTAAATGAAATATATATAAGCTTTTCACAAAATACCATAGATACTTGCAATAAAAGCATTCCAACTCAATTTATACAGAATATTTTATGAAAAACTTAATTCAGATGTCTGCTTATAAAATATCAAGCTTAAAGATTATGTTGACTGCTCGCTTACAGACTCTGGTATTAAAAACGTGCACTTGAAGTCTGGGCTTGTGTATATTTCCTAACGACGTAGCATTTTCCCCTTTTAGGTTTGAAGAAGGTGATGTGGCCGATTTACATGGGTTTGCAAGTGCTGAAGAGCGTGCTCTTTGCCATGTTCCTGCCGACCATTATAAGCAGTGTTAGCCGACTGATTGGAAAGGGTAACTATAAAAGCTTCGAGAACTAGAATAAATTTAAATATTTGCATTCATTTGGGTCAGGTATCACATCCGGCTCGGCTGGCTCTGTGCCGTTGTTCATCCGCCCCATGGAACCGCCGCAGGAACTGGACTTCCGGGACAACAGCATGAACTTCGATGACGACAGCAAGTTTTCCCTGGGCGATGAGGGAAAGACTCCAGCTGGCTACGAGTACAATGCAGGTGGGCTATCGCAAATAGGAGGGTGTATTCTGATAATACTGATTGTGAATATTGCTTACCTTGCAGAGGCTTCGCAGCAGCAGGCGCAATATGCTCAGGTCAACGGAAATTCGGTGAATCAGGCCACTCTTTCGCGCTACGGAGGTCAGCAGATGATGCAGGACACGTATCTCAGTGCCCTGCAGAGCATTGGTGCTGCGTCCTTTAAGAACTCTCAGAGCATGTCGGGATCCTTCAGTGCCGGAGCTGGTGGTGGTGCTGCTCCAGGGATGACGAAGAAGCCAACGCCGGCGGTGATGAACACGTTCCAGAGCTTCCAGAAGGTGCCCAGCTCATCGCTGCTCTTGTCCAACTACGATCCCTTCTACAGTCCACTATTGTCGCGATTGGACTCGGTTTTTGCCCAGCTAAAACTGAATCCGGAGAACGAGGCTTGCCGCGAGAAACTCATCTGCCTGATGTACGCCAATCCCGCAAAGTATGCTCCGTTCAGCAACCTGGTTTCCGCCCAATTGAGCAGGTGAGTTTGCAGTTCGCCAGAAAGTATGCCGTAATTTAGGGAAACTGAATAATTACAGTGGGGTATCGATTAGAGGTACACAAGCTTAACCGCCGTTTCCGCCTTAAGCACCTTTTAATTGTCAAATTAACAAAAATCATTAGCAACTAAATGAGAAACTTAAGAAAGGACCTAATTTTCAAATTCAATAAGAATAGCATGCGGCCAAAAATTTAAAAATACATACTTAAACCCAAAAACTTTTTACATGGACTTTTCCCTTTTGGGACCGAAGTTTTTTGTCAGTATTCATAGGCATTAAAAATTAGAAAAGAATATAAGGAAAAAATGGTTTATTTATTTCAATTCACTTATAAAATTAAGTATGGCAGTAAAATAAAAAAGTTTTGGATAGCTAAGTAAATAGGATAAAAATCCCTTTTAATCCCTTTAATTCAAAGATTGAATTATTTTACATGCATAGTATTGTTTATATGCATTTAAATATTTTAGTTGTTTCTCGGAAGTGTACATATTGACACAGAGAGGCATCCTGTTTATTAATTCGGAAATAAATTGTATATGACTTAATTTATGTGATGCCCTTTCCACTTTTAGGGAACTGAACGAGTTACGAAAACCGACCTCCGACAACCCGGACATTCTGCGGTTTTTCAAGTACATGCGGGCGGCAAAGGACGGCCAGGATGGCGTCGACTGCGACGAGTCCTTCGCCAAGTGCAAGGAGCTGAAGGACTTCGAGAACCCGGCCATGCTGTCCACCTACAACGACATCAACAAACTGGTCCAGGCCCGCAAGCTGACGTAGTCGGAGTCGCAAAGTCACACGGAATATTTCTGATTAAGGTCGAGATGACAGCAGAGTTCGCAGGAGCCACGTCTAAATTCCGACTGACTGGGCCCCTGTCTTCTGGGACTGGGAGGTGTAATTATGCAAATCGTACTCTAGATAGGATAGCCTAGCCATATATTAAAGTTCGTTAGACGCTCCACCGGCGGCAGCTGTCAGCGGTGGGAGGGGGTGTGGTGGCAGGGGCGAGGGCGGGGCTTCATTAATACGCTGTAAATATAAAACTTTGTTTCGTAGTTTAATTAGCGCGAACACCAATTACTGGATGATGCTGTTGTATTTAGCCATTTAGATGAATATTCTTAAGTATTTATTTCTAGCCTACGACTATGTTTAAACTTAATCTATTCTATTTTTAAATATTTATTCTGTTGTTGTTATGCGATTAGTCAGCGAGAGTTGTTCAATGTCCTAAATAATCAATAAAATTATGTTGTACCACCAAAATTACTGAATTGAATATTGCAAGGGGTAAGGCCTTTAATTAGAAAGGGGAATTGCCTTTAAGCGTATTATTGATTTCTGTTCACGAAAAGGAGAAGCAGCTTTTCTGACATCTCGAGCTTTGAAATACCATACCAGATTCATTGCAAATATTTGCATTACACAGAAATCTTTACCTGGATTGCAAGCCAAATGAACTTAATTATACGCAAACAAGTGGTTAAGACTCAGATATGCAAATAAAAAAGCATCTAGATTTTGTGAAATGAATGCAATTTAAAGACCAGGTGTTGAAATTTCTACACTTAAATATTTTTGTTCAAACTATTCTAACGTAGGATTTTAGGATCTCAACAACTATTAATTAGTTGACAATCTGCTTAGCTTTGTTTTTAACATTTATATTTTATATACCCACTGATAATGTTTGTTTTAATTTGTATTTGCCGACAATATTTAATTTAAATATTGTGATTGTGCAGCTTTTTGTTAAAAATTATAACTTAACCAATTCAATAACACATATTTTAGTTGTCGTTTTTATTTTGCAGATATATGTTTGATACCTTAAAACGATAATTTATATTTAAAGACGAAATATATATATCTTAAGTCCGAAGATATTTAAGATATATCTTTATTTTAAGATATTGTGAAACTACTTACGGAGTACAATCCTACTTGCGAAAGTCCTTAAAAAATATATTGGCGAGTGTACTTTCGGAAGACTCCATTTAAATACTTTAAAATTTACTTTAAATGGGCACTTGAAAGTCCGACAATGAGTATTGTGAGATATTGTGAGATATTTACTGCCTTAAGTGAACTGATTACTTTTTGATGTAACAGAGTTCCTTTATCACTGTGAGGGCTTTTGCATATTTTTTGGGATGTTCCTGCACATATTTAGTTTTGCTCTTCTGTTTTTTGGATTTTCTAACTGAAATGAGATTAACGTGCATTGGTAATTTTCATCCATTCTGAATTTCATGAATTTCCCCTAAGGACTGTCCAACTGGATAATTCAATTACGCGTCGGGGGTCAACATGTCCGCCACAACAGGAGAATCTTCGTCCGCAGGACTGGCCTCCAGCCACGCCCCCAGGCACTACCACACCCTCCAACTGACGGAAACAATTTCCGCGGGCGGGTTTCTGATTGCGGCCTCGTTGGCAGTTCGTGCCACGGCCGACCGGCAAAAATCGGGAAATCGTGTAAGTGTGGCAACGGGAAAAGCCGCAGTAACGCTGCCTGTTGTTTTGATTTTTGTGGCAGCCAGTTGGTGGAAATTCCCCAGTTGCACCACAAATGCCAACGCAGGAAATTGCAGAGAATGCGAAAACCAGACCAGATGCAGGCTTCTCCGCACGGTTTGTTCACATTTCGCCCTGACTTTAAACGTGGGCGTTTCCGAAAACCAGTTTGCAGTAAAAGTAATGATTGTCTGTGAGGCAAGAGGCCAAAAATTACATAATCCCCCGGTGGCTGTGACGTACGTTTTCCCGGAATGAGTCACTTCAGCAGTTTGTTGTCTCTTTAAATCAAACTCAAATTAAAGCCAAGGCCTCGACGTGCGCCACAATAATTTTGGGATTTTCTCAAGGCACACGAATGCGAATGCTCGCCCAGCCGGACGCAAGTCGTTGTCGCACAGGTCGTTGTCTCTCACCCACGGATCCATTGAGCCACTGAGCCACTGAGCCACGGTAAACCCGATCGGTGGATCGATCGTATCCACAACCTACCGCAAGTGCGAGCGTGTTGAGATCTGCCTCTTAGCCATCATCGTTGTGGGCCAAAAGCGACGACAGCGTCTGGGCCATTGTTTCCATGTTGACTTTGTTTCGGCGCTCAGCCGACTCCTCCTCTGGCCACTTCTCGCATTTCATATAAAATCTTTGCCGGCCAGCAGCCACGGCACAGTCGCTTTTGGCCAGCAGCAAGACAGAGTCGCTTGGAAAAAGCGTCAAGGATACACACACCCAAAAACCACCTCAGGCATTTATAGGAAACAGCAAAAGGTAAACAGAGGAAAAAACCGAAAAATAATAATGTAAAACCAAGTGAAGTGAAGTGAAATGAACTGAAAAAAATTGTGTAATATGCAAAAGAAATGAATGTGGGAACCGCTAATATTGTCGATTTAAACGTGCTCTCAAGTGTGGCCCAAAGCAGTTATTGGAAATTAAGTAATATCGATTTTGAATTCATATAGTTCGTAGAAAGGAGGTTACAGAATCAAATTAAATTCATTAGCCACTTCTTCATATTCTTATCCAATATAATAGTTGTGCAACACCAATTATTCAAAGTAAAAGCCACCAAAAACCACTTATTAACTTTCCAATCGGAACAAATTTTTTTTTTCAAGAAATAATCAGGAACTTTTAACTTAAACAGTAGTTATTACTTTCATTAACACACCAAGATAATTCGAACTCAGATGTTCATAGTTATTGGCAAACGTATTTTTACATATTGACCGTTTTTTATTAATAATAAATGTATATCAACATGGTAAGCAGTTCAAGGGTGTACATAAATTGTTGTATCTTCCAATCCGATAAAGTCATCATTTCCATTTATCGCCTTTGTAATTTCGCAATTTCGACCATCACCAGTCCACATTTCATTGACCTTCATTGGCGAATGTAAATGGAAAAGCAAAACAAAGACAAAACAAACACGGCTTAGTGACCAAAATTCGTATTCGCTTTCGACATCCCATTCGGAGACCATTGACTGCGCAAAATGTTCGCCATGAATCATTAATTGATTCAGTAATCCATAAATCTTCCGCACCCATTCCATCACCGTGCCACATAAATATCCGGGCTTTCTTATCTGCTTTCGGGCGCTCGACTTGTAGTTGCCATAAACTTTCCACTCCCCTGATATAAAGCATACTTCGCTGCATACCATTTGGCGCAGCAGAAACTTTCCTCCTGGACATTGAACTTCTGTTAAGCGAAACCTCCAGCGGATTGCCACACAATCGTCGTGCTGATGAGTCCCAATCTAGGTTTGGCCCAAATAGGAGCGTAACGAAAGTAAAAGCGATTGCTCGAAAAAGTCCCTCGAGCATAACGAAGTTTTCGTGTGCGATTTCAGTTGGCGCCCATCTTAATACAGTGGCCATAAACAAAATCAAAGTGGTATTTTCCTTATTAAATTTTACCCAATCATTTCTTTTTTGCGAATTAAAATTTCAAAAAAATTACAAAAAACTTGACCAGTTGGATTGGGAGCTTTGTATAGTAATCTTATTTACATTTAATCTTTAATTATTGAATACAAATAGGTTTCCGGTTAAAAGTCCTCAATTCATTATCAATGAATATAAATTTTATCCAAAGTAATGACTAATTATACTTCAAAATATTTGAAGTATTCAATACTGAAAATTTCGATTCCCTAGTAATGAGATCCTATTTCGACCACCCAGCTGTGTTAATCGCCCCACTGTCTATTTCGCGCATTAGGCACACTTTACTGCATTTCTGGTTGACCAGGCTAAGTCGACCTTTTTAAAGCACATTAGGCATGCTGTTTATGCGCCTTAGCACGGGATTCAATTACGTGCATTTGCCGCCTCATTGCCGCCAAAGGGTTAAGCGGCCAAACCGGTCCGCCTGCATTTCACTTTGGTCCCGCTCGACACACAGCCAACTTCTTTTGTGGCTTTATCTGTATTTTTGGGTGCAGAAAGCTCGCCCCGAGAAATTTGAGCAAACTTAAGCTAACAGTAAACATTGAAGAGCAAAGAGTGGCGAGCTGTGGCTCAAGTTGGCTTGAAAGCGAGAGTTATTACGTCTTTGCGGCTAATTGCACACTGTGCCATTGGGGCCTCCGAGCCATCTGAAAAGTGTGTCAGTTTTAAGTGGATAGCCAGTCCGTTAAGCCAATAAGCAGTTGCCAAAAAAGCGGCTTCTATATACATACGCTTTTCTGACATCGCGTGACAGAGCCGAAGAGGCTGGAATAATCGGGTGATTGAGAGAAAACTTTAGCGGCTGAAACGAAAATTGTGCCACCGATCGCGTCTTAAGACATTTCATCTTCTCCTGCTTACAGCCATGGCAATGAGAGCGCTCGTCTTACTGGCCGTCCTCACCTTGGTGGCCGGCGAAGGTCTCCGGCTGCCGGACCAGCAGTCGTCCAACAACATCCAGCAGGTGTATGCGCCCCAGCCGCAGATCCAGCAAATCCAGCAGCCCCAGCAGATCCCACAGCAACAGCAGCCCGGAGTCGGCGAGGAGCGAGGAAGGTCCTCCCTGCTGAGCATCTTCGGACTCGGCAACGACAACGATCCCTACTTGGCCAGGACCAACAGCAACTGCCTCGGCGGCGATCTCTCCGAGTGCTTCAAGACCCAGGCCCTCAACACCTTCGACGAGTTCTTCTTCAAGGACCAATACAAGTAAGGACCACTTTAACAATCAATATCATTCGTCGCTTCAGAAACTATCTGTCCATTGTTTCCCTTTAAGTTTTTACTTACTCGCAATGTTCCTTTACCTACAAAAATTTCTTCGAATATTTTAAATTCTTGATATCGCTTCATGGCAAAGAAAAAAAGATTTTTTCCTTCCCCTTTTCTTTCATCTGTCCTCGAAAAAGGCAAATCAACTTTCTCACATCTTTCGAAAAGGATGGACCCTATTAAAAGTGACATCCTTTCATAAACAAACATTTAAATTCCCAAAATAGAATATATTTTTTTCAGTAAAAAGTTCTAAAGTGAAAGCTTCTTGTAGCGAAATAATTTATGGCAATATATTTTCCTTCTTCATACACCACTTGACAGGGAAGTTAATCAAGCTATCTCATTATTTTTCCAGGCTCACCGACTTTGCACGCGTGGTGCGATTGCCGGAAACCCAGCAGAGGTCCCTCCTGCAAGAACCCTTCGAGTACTCTGAGGAGTCCAGAAGCGACGATGACCCGTGGAATCAACTGCTGAAATATGGACTGCGAAGGGCCGAACGGTAAGCTGTCACAATTAGCCAAATGACTGCGGCTCGTGCCGGATGCAAATTAATTTTGTGCCCGCGCAGTTGGCCGGGCTTTTGCATAAAACATGAGATTTTTATGAAAATGTAAATGCCCATTCTTTGACACGTTTTTCTTCTGCTCCTTTGCAGCTTCATCAAGTCCACAGCTCTGGAGGTCGAGTGGCCGGAGGAGCTCACCGAAGCCGGTCGTTACGAGGCCCGTTTCATCGGAAACGACATCGATGGCGAGCTGGACCTTATTGATGATGGACAGCGTGCTGGACACTTCTGTAAGTCTTCAAATTATTACGTTTTTCGGTTGAGAAAGAGCAGCTTGAATGTCGAAGGATATTGAATAAAAATGCAAATTAGTGTTTTTCTTCATTTATACAGTCGGTTCTTAATGGGCACAAAAACTTAAAGACTTTCAAAAATAAGCAGAAGTTCCAATTAAACAGAGACCAAATGAATGTTCTTTAATTAAGCCAAAACCATTTCTGAGATATCAAAAATAAAGTTATTCAAATCTTTATATTTTCCTTTAAATAATACTTACCTTAGCTCATTTACTAATTCCGTATTCCCCTTTGCAGCGCGCAAGAAGCTGAAGAAGATGATCATTCCCCTGCTGCTGGTGCTGAAGATCTTCAAGCTGAAGTTGCTGCTCTTCCTGCCCTTCATCCTGGGCATCGCTGGCCTGAAGAAGATCCTTGGCCTGGCTGCCATTATCCTGCCGGGTCTGTTCGCCTACTTCAAGCTCTGCCGCCCGCCAGGTGGCGTTGGAGGAGGCTTCGGCGGTGGACTGTCCGGCCTGTTTGGCAGCAAGAACACCTTCCCCGAGTACAATCCCCAGGGAGTGGGCGCCGCTACCTACTACCACCACCACGAGCACTTCGAGGGCGGCCACGGAGGTGCCCCAGGACCCTACTACCGCCAGGAGCCCAGCTTCGCCAAGCCCTACACCGACTACTACAGCAAGAGCTACCAGGGCCAGGGCCAGCAGGTGCAGGGCCAGCAGGTCGCCGGCAACTCCGTGAGCTTCGGGGATCCCCAGGAGGCGGCCTACAACGGCTACTACGGCCGCAACTCCGGCAAGGACATCGCCGCCGAGCAGCAGCCTCAGAAGAGCTAACTCCGAGGACTCTGACCACGTTGTTATTTATTTGGCCATCGGCCTTGTTGCATTCCTATAAGAGTATTTATTACGCTAATTGTAAATAAAACAAAGTTTTAAATGAACCCCAATTAGTTTTGTATTTTGGGAAGAAAGGAAACCATTGGTGCCGGGGGTGGGTATGGAAGTTTCCAATTAATGGCAAAATTTCACTACAAAACGCTTCTCCAAATTCTGCGCTTGCTCTGCTTTTACTCACACTGAAGCCGATACAAATAAAATGCAGCTTTTAATTAAGGCAATGAAATGCCAAGGCGAGAAACTGAGGAAAAGTGGACTGGCGTGTTTTTTAGTTTTGCTTTTTCTGTTCGAGGGTTGCCTTAGAGCTCGGGAAAATGGTAATAAATCATCTGAAGCACAAGGTTTCAGTAGCTAAAGCTGTCGTTTCGTGTGATATTAATTTCGTAAGCATTAGTTAGGTTGATGTAAAATCAATATACTCAACGCCTTTCTTCTTCCGGTTTCAATTAAATTACGTGAAGTAAAAATTGATAAAATTTAAAAACGCAACGGCTTCCATTGAAAACATTTTCAATTAATCATGGTCAAACTCTAGTTAATTGTTCATAACGGCCAAACCTAACTATACTTGTTTGTTCTAGTTATTTAAGAATTACCTTAAATAAAAGTCATAAAATAAAAGTTTGGGCTAAGACGTCCCAATTAAACATATATTTATCCCTTCTGGTTTAGGAAAAAATTAAATATTTTTTCACTTGCTCCACAATGGATTAATATGATATTAAATGTATTATTTAGTTTTATGCTTTACAAATTATTCGACCATTTACTTGCTTATTCTCGAATTTCAATCAATAACGAAGAAAAGACAAATGACAATAGAGAACTACTACTTTTCATAATTTTGTAAATTTTTGATAAAGGAAATTTGTATTAGACCGCGTTCAGCCAGAATAGAGAAACATTTTTTTTTAACTTAAATAATAGTTTTTAGCAATAACAATTTAAGTTTAAGATAAATTTATAATTTTCAAATATTATATATTTTTAAATTTATTTATATTTATTTAGCCGACCCAAAAAATGTATCTTCCTTTGAAAATCAGCTAATAGAATGATTTAGCTTATTCATTTAAACAAAATCCAGATGGTTAGTTTTACCCGAGCCATCTCAAAACGATTCAAACCTCCTCCGATTGGCTTGGCCAACTTCAAAGTCAATGCCAAAAGCGAGGCAGATATATTGGTAGCTAGGTACCCGAGAAGCCTGTGTCTAGCGTTGTCAACACCGTCGGAGGAGTCGACTGGCCTGGACCACATTTTCCAAAAGAAAGCGCAGCAGCCGCCACTACTGGGCTGCCAAGTGGCTTGCTTCAGATTGAGAAATTGTTATGACTCCAACCGGGGGATAGTTAGGCACTGACACCGCGAAAAAAAGGAAAAACCTTGGTATCCATACCTATGTTTAAGTTTGTCAAGCATATATTCACAGACATTTCTGGTCACAGATTTCTATAAAGCAAAGCTAACTTTTTGTCTATATGTATAAATATATATTTTTAAGTCGTTGAAATCGGCATTATGTACATTTAAATTATTTTATTACATTTCTGAACTAAAATATGTTATCTCTAATCTTAATAGTAAGCCTAAATAAGTAATTTCAAATCTGACTTAACTGACATAGTTTCTTGAAAAATTCAACTTCAACTATTTCATGGTAATGGCTTGAGGTGACAAATACTAAGAGAAATAATTAAATAGGTATCACTCAATTTTTTCTGTGTATATGTTGCTTCAAGAGGCCTGGGCGGACGCAATTGGCTTTTGGTGTGATTTGATTTCGGAGCTGCGATCGGAGGAGCAAATCGGCTTATGGACAGATCGCCTAGCGGTTTTCTGCGACCACATGAACACACCACTTTCGTGGTCAGGCGTCCCACTTTGGTGGCACACTGTCCAGCCGGCTAGCCTACTTCCAGATCGGTGAAAATTCTGTGGAAATTCGAGTGGCACTTGCGGCTGGCCGCCAATTTTCGGTGTGTGCAATAACTTTTGGTCTTGGCGGGTAAATTGATTGAATTTCCTCGGCAAATGGCCAACGGACGCACAACCTGTTGGGCCGTCACGCCCCCGGGACACGGCTGGATCCGTAATAAATGCAATAAATTACACCTGCTCTTAATCTGTTCCGGCTAAAAGCAGAAGGCCCGGATAAACGCAGCGTGTGGCGAGTTAAAATTACATGGAAAGAAGGGTGGTCCCTCGGCGGTGGCAAGAAAAAGCACGGGTTTTCACCGCATCGCTGCAGTTGATAGCTACAATGGGGGTCGGAAAATGTATTGTAATAAGCACATAGGTTGATTTAAAGATTAAACTTGCGGTAGACAAATTATAGGGAAAATAGAAAATTTAAGCAAACACAACATAAAATACCCGCTTGAATAAGCAAATTGACATATAGTAATTTATAACTATAACTCCATATATTCTTTCTGAAAATTCTGAATTCTGTTATTTGTTGTACACTTTTTGTAAAACTTATTGTTAATTAAATTAAAGAAAGCTGTTTGTGTTTATATTCAACATAGCTCGAACTACCATATGTCAATCATAATGCCAATAAAAATATGACTTCGAGCTTAGAGAGCTATGGTAGGTCCTGTGAACTAATAAACAAATTAATATTAGTATTAAATATTATTGTATTTGCTCAATATCTTGTCTGTCTTTTTATGTCAATACATTGGATAATTGAAGCATGTTTTGGATAGATATTTAAAGCTCACCAAACCTAGATCCCTAGATTCCCCTTGGGCTGCGCCCCTGTCAATAAGTGCTCCGTGGAATGAAGAGCCTTTGACTAATTGGAGCAACTGAAAACTTTCAGGTTTGCATGCGTGTTGTCAATGGCAGTCTAGTTTTCGCTGCCAATTCTCTGCCCACTTTTCCAACTGAGGCTGTGTGGGAAAATTGGCCTCTTTGTTGTTGGGAATTAGGTCTGTTGTTTACTTTCGACTGGCTCTGTTTTTGTTGACGACCCACGCTGGCAAAGACAACAAAGGCAGAGCAGAACTTGTCGTCGAAGAAAATGGGTGGCAGAATGTGGTGGCAAGTTCAGAGGCAAGGCCATAAAAAGCCAGCCTCCGCGGCCGGCAGAATATCCGAAAACTGGCCAAACGAGTGGGTCTTCAGTCAAGGAGCTGGTCTTTTTGGCGACCAGTTCCAGGTGCAAAGTCAACATCGAGTGCCTGCAAAAACAAAAGCCGGCGTCACAGTCGCCGTCGACTGCGGCAGAGACCTGTATTGTGTTTGCAGCGCATTTGGCCGCTTTTCATATAAAATCGAATTCACTGGCGGAAAATTCGCATTAGGTTTTCTATCAAGGCGACGATGTCAACAGCAAGAGCGTAGCACTTCCAGCAAAGCGAAGACGCGGGCGTTAGTGAGAGTGTGTGTGTTTATCAGCAGAAGGATACGGCCAGGATATACCCAAGATACGTGTGTGACACCCAGTGAGACCCAAGAAAACAACCACAAACTGTACGTTCAGACAGAGCACGGGTCAAGCTAAACAAAAGCCGAAAACAGAGACCGACGATGCAAACATTTAAGGTCTGCGCGCTGCTGGCGTTCTGTTTCGTCCTCGTTTCCGCCCGCGGCAGCAAAAGGCGGGATGGCCCCGTTACGGTAAGGAAATGTCCGGGAAAGTCCGGAAAAAGTTGCAAAAGTGGCAAAAGTGGGTGATAGAACGGGCATTAATTGCCAGTGACAAGGATAACGTTTTGGCCCACAGAACAACACAGCCAGTGACCTTTGTTTTGGCCGTCCGAATTTATTGCCTTATCTGAAAGTTCATCGCCAGTGTCACTAGAGAAAATATCCAAGGATTAAAATCCAAGTAGGGTTGGCTTGTTTACCGTACCAAAGGAGAAGACCATCTAAATAGCATTTTCAAAGTTCGCATTAAAGGTCGACCGAGAAAAATTAAACGATTAATGATAAAAAAAGGTTTAGAAGTGAAACCATTTATAAACTGGACTTATACAAACATCAATAAAATAAAGCTAATCTTTTTTTTCAGTAATAACTCAAGTGAAGAAATTTATTTGTTCCTAATTTAAGATATTAAAATATATATTTTTAAGACAAAGCTAATAATTCTCAATGAAAACTACTACATCTAAAACAAGTCAAAGTCCTTTACAAAGGCGGCTTATATTTTTTTCAAGTCTGAAATTTATCTTAAGTGCGAACTATTATTTTTTTAAGTTAAAAACTTTTAATCATCTTACAGATTACGGACAGCGAGCGTCGGAATATTGAAGATTTCCTCTTGGCCAAGTTGAAACAGAATTGCAGGCAGGAGGACGATCGCGCCTGCAGGATGATCAAGATGTCGATTGTAATGAACCACCTGTACCTGAACACCCGACTTGACCTAGGCGACCGCGTCAAGGTCACGGAAAATTGGTGAGTCTAAGTTTGACAAAATATTATTATGAGGACGAATGTTTACAAACACCAAAGTTATGGCATTTCCGATCAATCAGTTATATGGCAGCTATAGGATATAGTCGGCCGATCCCGGCCGTTCCGACATATATACTGCGTGCAAAGGAAAGAAGGGGGTGTGCAAAGTTTCAACTCGATAGCTTTAAAATTGAGAGACTAGTTTGCGTAGAAACAGACAGACGGACAGACGGACATGGCTATATCAACTCAGGAGGTGATCCTGATCAAGAATATATATACTTTATAGGGTCGGAGATGACTCCTTCACTGCGATGCACACTTTTGACCAAAATTATAATACCCTCTGCAAGGGTATAAAAAAGTTATTTATATATATATTTTAAGAAATTTAATTATATATGTTAAGAGCATAAGTATTAAAATAAAATTAATTGGATTAAAAATTAATTTCTAATAGTTTAACAAAAAAATATACTAAAATTTAAGTAAGCTCAAACCAAAATATTTTTGAATTGAGAATTAAGTGTGTACTCTTATTAATTTTTGTAGCTAAATGTTTTTAAGGAAGCTGATTATAATTTTTTTTGGACAGTCAGACCCCTAGAACACGAAAAATAACCAAATCTAACCAAATTTCATTGAAACCAAATTTAGAAGTTTTATATTTAATCTTGCTGAATAGTTTGTTTGAATAAGTAGTTTTATGTGCTGGAGTTTATCACCGAATGCAAGCTTATGTTTTTAACCTGTTTATATCGTAAAATATCCTTCAAATAATCTGTCACATGTACAGTCCAACCGAATTGCCTGCGATGTTTTCATTTCGAATACTTTAAAATTATACAAAAGCAAACGTTCTCCAATATCAATTTTTGGAAGATGCGATATACAATTAAATTTAATTTTTCTACCCATATCCTTCTAAAAACTTCTACTGTAATTATCTTAAGACCTTAGCTACAGCATCAATTTAGTTTGAATGTATTTATTACAAAGCACTCTATGCTTGTAAATGTAAATAAATAAATTCGTTTGCAAAATTTTTACAAAATTATAAATTTAAACCGTTTTCGGAATTGTTAAAAGTTATCAGAAGTTTTAAGCTTATAATTTTAAATACAAAAAATGTTTGCTGTTTTGCTATATTCTTTGATTATTCCTATGGCAGCAACTAGCATTCTTACTAGCATAAATTAAATGCAATAAAATCACTTATGGCAAATTTACAAAAAAATCAGTTTTGAGTAGAAGCGGTCAGGCAGAAGAACGAACATAACGCTTAGTCAAAAATATATATACTAGGGTTGTAGGTTGTCAAAAAAGTCTGCTTTACTTGGGGTATACAACTGAGCTCTACTGTTTACAATGGGTACATTTTCGACCATATACAGTTTATACTTGATCTACATCACCAAGCGAGTCGATCTAGCAATGCTCGTATGTTTCTACCCAAGCTAGTCCTTCAGTTTTAAAGCTATTTGGAAACAATCGGAAAAACAGGGAAATATAAATATAAATATATGCTGTTTCTTAGCATATATCTATAAGCCCCGAGGTATAGTCATTATTAACAATTTACGGTTTTATTAGAAAGCGGTTCTACTTTTATAGAAATCTGACAACTGTATCATATAGCTGTCATTCAAAAGATTAACAAATTTATCGGATAATCGACCTAGCCTAATTGTATTTAAGTATTTGTATTTGATATCGAAATATAGATATTTAATTTTTGTAACAGCTAAAAGGGTATGTTTTTATTTTTTCTTTATTTTACACTAAAATATATTTATAAGTGTAAAAGCGGTAATCACAATATCTTGCTGATCAAAATTGTCTTCTTGCAGGAACATCTCGATGGTGCCGGATGATCCGGAGGTGGATCAGCTGTTGTCCCGCTCTATAGGCTCCGACGAGGAGACCTTCGCCCTGCTGATGGCCAACAAGCTGTGGAAGTTCATCCGGTCGCGATCGCTGCGGTACAAGTTCTCGGAGAACGCGGACTTTGTGATGAACAGCGATCCGGAGGGCAGTCTGAATGTGGGCGTGTCCGTGCGCCCGCTGGAGGCGTTGCAGGAGGGGCGTGGCAAGATGAAGAACATGGGACCGATGCTCATGATGATGGCGGCCAAGACCGGAATGGTGGGAGCTCTCCTGCTCAAAGGCCTCTTCCTGCTGGCCGGAAAGGCGCTGATTGTGTCGAAGATCGCCCTGCTGCTGGCGGTGATTATTTCGCTGAAGAAACTGCTCTCCAGCAAGAAGACCATCGTGGAGGTGCCGTCGCACCACGACAGCTACAGTTCCGGGTGGTCGAGGGCCTTCGATGGGTTCGTGGAGGGACTGGTGGACGTGCCCGCCGACGTTTGGGCCAAGGAGGTGCAGCAGCCACAGGATCAGGCCCAAAAGCTGGCCTACAGTGGCCAGCAGCCGGGGAAAGTGGCGCAATAAAGCTAGTTACTGACTAACTTGTTATGTATGTCATTAGATCAGGAATGAACTAAATTGGGTTTTCTTTTAACACTTTCCTGCTGGCTTGGGGTAACTCCTCTCACGCTCTCACTCTCTTATCTCTCTCTGGATCTCTCAACTTTCACTACTTTCCCCTAGAATTACGCTCTCTCTCTCTCTCTCTCTCTCTCTCTCTCTCTCTCTTACTCACTCTTTTGCATCTCTTTGTTGTTCTCTAGCTCACTTTCACTTTTCCGTTTTCTCAATGATGCTCATTCTCTCGTTTGTAATTTATTTAAATTTACACTTACACTTAATTTATTTATTTATTTATATTTATTACCAAATAAAAAGCATATGCCAGCGATTATAATTTCTGAACAACTTTGTGTCCAATTCTTTAATGTTTTTTTAGTTTTTGTAGCATTTTCACTGCTAATTACAGAGACATTATACTATACTAAATGTGTGCGCCAGGTTTCACTTAGCTAAAACGATTCAATAAATAATAACAATACGCAAGCTCGCTAGGTTGCTAATCCGATGCAAGATGTCCGACGTCCGGTGTCTGATATTCGGTCCTTATGGCAGCAGAGCAACCTCCTACTACCCACGGGGTCTTTGGTAGCTGCTAATTGGCTAATCGTCGCCTCAGGAGCGGTAGTACGGCATGTGGGGCTGCACGTAGTTGTAGATCAGAGGTCGTCGGGCTGGAGTGGCTGCAACACAAGTTTCGTCGTTAATCAGGCAAGTAATTGGTTGGCCAGGGCCACTTCTAAGGTGTAAGGTGTTGCGATGTGCAATGATGCAATAAATTCCAAAGTGCCCAGGTGAAAGGGGTCGATGTGGATCTCAGTTAGGTGTTAAGGGTGCATCACATTCATCTTAGAGCGCATTGGGAATTCCACACCTCTGCTCTAACAAGGTTACTGCTTATGCTCATGGTTAGATTATTGCACTTTTTTAAACTTTGTTAAGGTTTCAATCGAACCCAATCCTCTAACTTCCGTTTTGCTTGTGCAGACAGATTTAAAATAGCTAAGGCAGCTTGAAAGTATGCAACTATTTTGCAACTGATAATCGAGCACTCCACTTATCTTAATCACTGCTATAGGTTTCATTTTTATACCCTTGCAGAGGGTATTATAATTTCAGTCAAAAGTTTGCAACGCAGTGAAGGAGACATTTCCGACCCTATAAAGTATATATATTCTTGATCAGCATCACCAGGAGAGTCGATCTAGCCATGTCCGTCTGTCCGTCCTTCTGTCCGTCTGTCCGTCCGTTTCTACGCAAACTAGTCCCTCAGTTTTAAAGCTATCTGCTTGAAACTTTCCCAAAAGTTGTCTTTCTATTGCAGGTAGTATATAAGTCGGAACGAGCCGGATCGGGCCACTATATCATATAGCTGCCATATAACTGAACGATCGGAAATGCCATAACTTTGGTGTTTTTAAAGTTAGGAAGTTGGGATTTTCTATGGGTTTTATTTTAGGCTAATCAATCCGACCTACCAAATTTCATAAGGATCGGACGACTATATCCTATAGCCGCCATATAACTGATTGATCGGAAATGCCATAGCTTTGGTGTTTGCATAGTTAGGAAGTTGGGATTTTCTATGGGTTTTATTTTTGGCCAATCAATCGGCCGACTATATCTTATGGCTGCCATATAACTGAACGATTGGAAATGACATAACTTTGGTGTTTTTAAAGTTAGGAAGTTGGGATTTTTTATGAGTATTAAGAACGCATCATATGAATAACCGATCCGGTCTTGGAGAATATAATTTACAGAATATTCTGCAAGGGTATATCAACTTCGGCTCCGCCCGAAGTTAGCTTTCTTTCTTGTTTTAAACTAAGCTTTAAATTAAATTAAACAAAGTTTGAATCTTAAATAAAATTGCCTTTGGTAAATAATAATAATTTTGTAGATCATTTTATTTTTTGAACTCTGTTCTTGTTTCTCCTGAGGTACTATCATCCATATTTATTCCAACTTTAATATAAAACATCAACTAATACTTGGCAGAATAAGGCGTTTTAATAGCTGCATATATTGGTATGCTTTAAAAGTTAGATGAATAAAATCCCATATTATATAACCTTCACAAACTTTCAGAGATATTCGTTAAACAAATTCTAAATAAATTGCCTCAATTTTAATTTTGTAAGTTTGTTTGACACCTAGAATGCAAATAAATGTGCTCTGGCCTCGAGATACTCCCTCGAAAAACCACACCTCATGTGTGCGTGCTCGGTGACAAATGTAAGTAATATGTACTCTGCTCAGTCTTCGTCCTCATAGTCGTCCTCAATTGCGCCCTCGGATGCAGCTGCTGCCACCGCTGCCGCATTCAGGGAATTTACTCTGGCCATGGAGAGGTGAAAGGATGGGGAGGATTTGGGAGGTCTGGGGGCCCCACCCCTGCCCCGACTATCTGAAATAGCGAGAGGCTGGGTCAACTTACTCTTACTCTTCGCCATCCAGGAGTCCTCACGTTTGATCTTGTGTCCCAGGCCGCCGAGTCCGCCCAGGGCGGCCAGCACCTGCGTGTTGTTGCTGCCGTCGCCGGACACCTGGGCGGAGTGCAGGTGGCTCTCGGCGCTCAGGCTCTCCAGGCCCGGATGTCCTGGATGACCCGGCAGCTGGCCGCCACCCGCCATCGCCAGGTGATGCAGCGAGCCCGGGTACATCTCAGGGGACATCTCAGCACCATGCAGCGGGTAGTCCATGCCGTACGGCATCATGTAGGGGGTCTGCTCCGGAAACTGGTACATCATCCTGTCAACCAATTTGAGATTAATTAATATTTTTAAAAATGTAAAATTATAGGCATTAATTATAGAAATTTTTTATTCCCAAACAAAATTTAATGAAATTTTTGTTTTCTTGTAATCTCAAAGTATTAAAGGATTTTACTGCAAAACTCCATACTTTTTAATTATTATCACGACTAAACGGGCTCAAGTCTTTAAGCTGTTTAACTTTTTATGCTCCTATTCACACTTCCATCTTTTTCTTGGGAAAACACTTTTTTTAACAAAACAAATTTTAAAAGCTTACTTTTCTTGATTTTAAATCGTTTATATTTTCATCCATTTACTTCTCGATTAAGTTACTTGAAAAACTTTTCAAATTTAAATCGCCGGCTCTTGCCTTGCCGCTTTAATTTGTACAACTCAAGCTCTGTGTTTTTCATATTTACTTGCAATACTCACTTTTCGCTGGCGTTGTCCATGAGCTTCTTGATCAGGACAATGGCGGCCACCACGAAGGCGATTTTGGACAGGATCAGTGCCTTGAGGGTAAGCAGCCCGACCGCCTTGGCGGCCACCATCGTCCAGCCAAATGTTGTGGCCGCCAGGTACATGGGGATGAACATCTGGAACTGCTTCTTGTCCTGGTGCTGGTGTCGCCTCCGTCCGCCCAGAAGGCCGCCTCCGCCTCCGTTGTCGCCGCCTCCGCCGCCCATCAATCCGCCTCCCCCGCCACCGTTTCCTCCCAAGCCACCTCCTCCGCCCAGAAGTCCTCCTCCACCTCCGTTGCCCTGCAGGCGGCCTGTATTTGAATTTTGGGAAACAAGACACGTTTTAGGCTTTACGGCTTTAATGGCACTCGTACGTATACGTAATAGTGCGACACAGGATTTGATTGGCCCGCCCCTTTCCTGTCACAGGATGCGGTATGATTGATGCGCTGCCGCCATGTATATCGAATGTCAGATTAAATAGGGGCAAGTAATGGCAGTTTGGACCGGGCAAAGTCATTGATATGCATTGGGTGAGAAAGGAGAGTTTGGTAAGTCTGCCCAGAAGTGTGCACTGGTAAGAATGGGGTTATTTAACTTGTTCGAATTAAAACAAAAAAATTTAAATACAATAAAATATTTCTTCTTTTCTTGTGAAACCTTTTGTTTTTAATATAAAGCACATTTTTTACTTGTTATTATAAAAAAATTATTTTCAACTCATATGGCATTTTAACCTTAATTAATGAAAAGAACTGTACTAAAAATAGGTAATTTTACCATTTAAAAAAAATAACATTGATCAAATTACCCAAATTTTACCTATAAAGGATACTTTTTTTACAAGGACCCTTTGCTTATATATTTTATTATCAAAAGTAACATAGAAAGGCTGACAAAGTCATCAGTTTAACTTTCCATAAAATGTAGAGCATGAAAGAGTTTTACATTTTATCCAAGAAATAGTTTTGTCTATTTCGAAATAGTTTAAAGTTTGGTTAAACTATGCAATAATATAAATCTCTATCCCTAAAGGAATGCACATTTCAGCAGTTAACTGAATAACTAAACATGGCATAACTTTTTTTTTGCTACGAATCCAGATCATTGCTCTACTATTTTCTTTTCCCAAGTGTAGGCATCTGTCAGGATCTGGTAAAGGTATCACGAATCGCCCACATGCGAGCGGCATGCCAAGCAGGAGCAGCTGGTTAAGCCGCTCCTCCAGGCTCAAATGGCACTCCCGAGGATGTCGGGCACCTGTCATTCGCTGATTGGCACCCTCGTCTCATTACCTGTTCCGCTGGAGGCCTTCTTCAGCAGGGCCACCTCGATGTACTCGCTGTCGTCCTCGGCCCGTTGGACACTGAACACCATGGGCCCCACGGGCACCCTGATGGCGTTCCCCGTGACGAAGTCCATGAAGCTGGAGATTCCGCGGCCAGTGCCCCACTTGCGCTTGTGCGAGGCATCCAGTTCGGGCAACTTGACCAGGTCGAAGAGGCCCAGTTTGAGGGTCTCGCCGCGCCGATAGGAGGCCATAATGCCGTTGGCCACGCCGTACAGGCAACTCGCGTTGTTGGCGCACTTCCAGCTCAGTTTATCCAGCAGGTCCGTGTTCTCCACACTGGCCGCAGGATTTGCCACCGGCTTGCTGGCAGGATTTACATCCACTCCCAGCGAATTGGCATTGGCCCCACTGCGCTTGTGAATGGCCGCCAGGCTCATGTTCAGGCCCAAAGCCAACAGAAGGCAACTGGCAACTAGATGGCTCGGCATTTTCAAGCTTTATTCGATTTGTTCGTTTTGTAGAACACCGCACAACACACGACACTGGAAAAAGGACGAGAACGCGGCGTATCCTTCACATGGATGCGAGTGGACGCGATTCGATGGCAGCTTATGCAGCGCCTTTTGGAGACTAATTACCAGCCGTTGCATGCAACTCAGTTTTATTGGAGCAGCCGCGGCATCGGCAACAGTAGCAGCGGCAACATTAGCAGCAGCATCCGACCAAGCTGCGTGCAGCACCACTGGCTGCTCCACTGCACCACCGCCACCTCCACTTCCACCGCATCCACATCCACGTCCACCAACAACAGTGCACTTTTCTGCTACAGTTTTGATTTCAAGTCAACCAGCTGAGTGACGGCCACCGCTCAGTGGGCTTCAGGCTGCAGTATCGGAGCACCAAAGCTCTGGAGCACCGGAGTATCAACTGCGCACAGTGGTTCCACATCACGGACGTCACATACAGCACATCCATAAATAACCATCTATTGAGAATCCTCAAAATAGTAACTTAGGTAAGTGATACAAACTTAATAAATCCCCACTATTATAAGCCGTTTATTTATTTAAACATAAGCTATTTTAACTATTTTAAAATCCACTGTTAAAGCTGGAGTCAGTTTTCAAATTGTATTCATCAATGTTTATACTAACCGTTTAATTTATTTTTGTTAAATACAACAAATTTCTGCAACAAGAGGTTCTTAATTGTCCATTAAAATCAATTACCAAGTAAAAATGGAATTATTTTCTAAAATTTTATGAACAGGTCCAACTGCCTTTTGCATTTGAATATATTGCGAAAAAATATATAACTATAAGGGTGTGTTGATTTCGGTACCCAAAAATCTTAGCGGAAAACGAATTTAGTAAATATTTTGAACAATATTGCAAAAATGTAGCCCAAGTTTGCCTTTCTACATTTAGTAAAAAAAAAATACATCGATTTTTGGGAAATATGAAAGTGGTCAATAGATTGGCTTGATTGCGTTCTTCTACGACCTTTAATTTATTTATATTTAAGTTTACCCAATTTAATTGCTACTGAGAAATTTTTAAAAATAAAGTGACAAAAGTGTGTTCGAACACATAGTTCCTTTGGCAATATTGCTCAGAATTACGATTTACGTCTATTTCATACAAATCAACCCACTGAAATAACTATAGAGTTAAATACATTGCATAGAAACAGGCAAGCGGATAAATCAACTTTTGTTTAAAACAAGAGGGTACAAAGCAATATACCATTCCCTCTCGCTTGAAAATATAAGTTATAAGATAAAATTTGCAATGAATAAAATAAGCTGCCACCTCCTCGCAATTCGAATATGTCCCACTGTACGTGCAAATGCCAACGCAGTAGTAATCAATTTGCTTTGTTATTTGCCAGCGTCGTTTTTCAGCTGCACTCCCGAAAGGTTCAAAGGGTGAACTAATTAGCCGCAATTTCATTAACCACATGACATTAGGCTAGGGTTGCATAGGTGGGCGGCTCACACGGCTCCTGGTCGAAGACTTTTTGCCATCGTGGCCGTGGCAGTGGCAGAATGGCGGTATAGCCAGTTTAATGGAGTCCGCGGCATGTAGTCGCTGTACTAATGCGGCTAATTTACTGCTCATTAATTTGCCCGCAATTTGCTGAAAACAATTTTCGCAGGCAAAAGTAAAAGCAAAGTGCAGTTCGAGTACGAGTACAATTAAGTTGCATCTTGGGGGGAGGTGGGTGGAAAAGTGGGAGGCTGAAGCTGAGGCAGAGGCGGAGGCTCAAGATGTGGCCACGCCTCGCCGCCTGAACACCATAAATAAATAAATAATAAAAGAAAAGTGAAACGAACTATTAGCTCTCGTTTTTCATAAATCGCCGGCTCAGTTACATTCTGCTGAGCAGGCGAAGTGCAGCCAATAAAACACTTTTCGTCGGTGCATGATGAGCGGGACTAATAAATATTCACTTTTTCAGCCAGCCAGGTGAGCACGCAGGCGGGCTGGGTAATTGTGGCCAATTTCGAGGCAGTGGCAATCAGACCTCGACCGTTCTTTGGCAGTGGCACCGTTTAATCGGCGATCCGCCGGCCCAATCTGGAAGATCTATAGATCCGAGGAGCCACTGGGAGTGTGATGACTGTAATCTGGATGTCCGCGCCATTCGCAACTTGACACCATCGGCCGTCAATGCCGCAAAAGCGCAAGTAATGCGAGGCGGTTCGCCAAGAAAGCCAACCACTGGCAAGTAGCAACTGGCAACTGGCGACCGCAGCAACATGGCCCAAAAGCCGCAACAATGGCCAAGGCCGGGGCCATCGGCCCAGATGGACATCGAAAGGAAAGCGGTGACGCAGTCCGAAAGCGGTAATCCGACCCGATCCAACCCACCGTCCACACCCACCTAGCTGCTCCAGTTTTTTGTGCCCGTCTTTGGGTTTACGTGTGCCACAAAAGTTTAATGATCCTTGACTGCAACCTGATCCGTTGGGTGGAGTCCGGTCCAAAGGCCAGCGGCTTCTTCGCCTTAATTGGCTCTGATTTCAATACTTCCAATGCACTTAACAGAAACTAAAAGTGGCCAGCGCCAATTTAATCCCCTAGCCGGCCAAAGGCTTTTCACTTTTATCCGGCCACACATTTTAATTGAGTTTTAACTAGACCAAGCTTCTCAAAAGAATACACTGAAATGCGCACAAGGCATCGCTCTGCATTCTTTAATCCAATCAAGAACTTGGTCGAGTGGAGATTGAAAGTTTGGCAGCCGAAAATACTTGTTCGCTGAGCATTGTTTGGTCACTTGTTTGCACTCGGAAACTTTGTCTGCTGCCAAAAGAAGTAGTATAGAAGAGGCAATAAGCTTTGGTGTTTTCTAAAAGATGTAACAAAATCACACTGAGAAAAATGCACTGCCAACTTAACGATTGTCTACCCTCTCATTTATTATTATTTATTTATATTGGTAAAGGCTGAAAGCAATTTTTTACAAGTAAAGGAACAAAATTGATCTATGAAATCCAGTTTATTTTCTAACCCTCTATACAATTATGCCTTAAAAAAATTTGAAATTCAGTTTTTAACTTAATATTAGGGAGACTTATCTCGAAGCATAGCAAATTTGTGGGTATATCGGTATATTCTACTGAGGAGTTATTTCTTGTTTTTATCTTATGAATGTCAAATATTATTTTTTGATGCTTGCAAATGATATGTTGTGCATTTCTTTTAAAAGTCAAGTTAATTTCAATAGTTTAAAAACAAAACGCAAATTTTGAAGAACAGGTACCCAATATTGCTAACTTTTATTTACAATTTTGTGCGTGTTATTTTTTCTGTGCAAAAAGTGCACTTGTTGAAAATGTATAGTTTAATGCAACCTAAGTGGAAGCTTACTAAAGCAATTGTATTGCGCGTTTGGTAATGTAGCAGAGCCACAGAGAGTTTTTAATTTAGAGCAAAAGTTTCAAGAACTCAAAAGCACAACTGAAGATATTACTTTGCAGGAACAATTTATGAGAGTCACAGATTTTGTTGAGTCACTCGTGTTTTTAATATAGCACATTTGCACGGTATGCAAGTGCTTTCTCTTTAAATTGCAATCCTACGAGGGCTTGTCCGCAGCCAGGACGAGTTTCATTTGCCATTTAAAGCCGCTTAGAGTTGTTAAATATTTGCCGTAATCCCCGAGAGAGCCACGGACTCTCTACGAATCGTTCACCTTGGAACTTCATAATCCAAGCCATCCTAAATAGCCGGCCAAGTGGGTCTGAAAACGGCTTGTCTGCGTACTGCAGACTCTCATCGCACCGTGATCACATGGATTTGTCAGGGCTGACAGCCAAATTGACTGTTTGGCAGTCAATCAAAGCGAAATTGTCACGAGTCATGCGAGAAATGCAAGTCGCCTGGAAATAAGCGCAATTAAAGCCATTCCGAGGAGTTTGTATTTTGCTGGCCAATAACAATAATAATAATATTGTTTATTTTAAAGCCAATTACGTGGCTTTGAGGCTGCGGTTGTTTGGCTGGCCTTGTTGATGTTGATTTTTCTGCGGCTTTTGCTTATGTTGCAGCTTTATTTTCACCGGCACGAATTTCGAATCGCACGGCACCTTGTTTGTTTTCCTCGGCTGTTTTTCTTTCATTTCTAATCGATTGCCTGAGCCCAGCGATACGTTTAATTTATTTTAATCTAATTGTTTTATAATTAAAACATACTTCTGTTTGATTTCACCTGTGCGTGTCACAAGCAAAAAGCTTGCGGTTTCGGCTCGACTCAGCTCGAATTATTTTCCAGTTTCCATAGCTCCTGGGCGCTTTAATTAGCTGCCACTGATTTGCAGCCCCACCCATATTTTGTAGCTAAAAAGCCGCAGGATGTTGACTTGCAAATCGTGGTGTTTGCGATGCAATAAGCTAATTTTTTGTGGTGTACAGTTGTGCTGTATACTTTCGGGGCTTGGCACAGATATCTCGAATTGTGGTAGACTTTCAGGAGAAAACCCAATGCAGTGGGACTTCGATTTGTGAAACTTACTAAGTGTGGTTTTATTTTAAGATTAATGAGAAATGGAAATAATGGAAATGAGTTTCTCAAATTATTATCATTAAAGAACATGGAAAATAATGATAAAATTTATGATAAATTGTGACAATTTAGATAAATTATTTTATTATTTTCTTGTAGCTAGTACTATGCCCTTCTATTTTAGCTTTAACTAAATAAAATATACAATTTTGTTTTACTTTTCCCTTGACTAATATCCAATCCACAAATTGTGTCTAGTAAATCGAAACAGTTAATTTAAGACAAACAAACATAAATCTTAATTGGCTCTTGACATTTATTTAGACTCTAGCCACTAATTGTAATTTGAATGCTTGGATTCTTGTTTTCAATAAGTAAATAAATAATATCCTTTTTAGTCGTCAAATCCTTTGATTTCCTTAGACTCCCAGCTGAAACTCGATCCGAACTATCTGTTTACTTGCCATGGGACATATGGCCTCACACCTGCTTACTCCCCCGACAATTTCGAGCCACAACTGCTGTCTCATTCAATCAACTCGATTCCGTACACCACAATGCACATTGCACATTGAATTGTGGTCTCAATTGAATGTGCGGCAAATGAGATTCTTTTAATGACGATGACGATGATGATGATGCTGCACAACAATCAATTATAACAAGTTGCCGCAGAGTCAGAGACATGGGACTCGGACTCGGACTCGGACTGGGATTCAGATACAGATACAGATACAGATTCAGATTCAAGCTGCGGCAAACAACGGTTACAAAGTCCCCACTCAAATGAATCGAATCGAGACCTGGCTGCTTTCCTCGTTTCAAAATCGGAGATTCGAGGCGGAGATGGAGCTGATGATCTGCTGCCAGGGGGAGATACTTTCTTTTTATTGCCGACACCGACACAAGGCAAACGTAACGAGTTCAGATCAATTTTTGGTTGACTCGCTGCCAGTTCGGCTCAATAACGTACGACTTGTTTTGTTGCCGCTGCTGCGGTGATGTGTTTAATTTTTTTACATCGTTTGGGGTTTCAAAATTTCCAGAAAATGTGTAAGTGAGAGCCCTGGTGAGTGTGTGTGTGTGTGCGTGATGTTTGTATTGGACAACAATATGATAAATATAAAAATTAATACATTGAGAGTGAAAGTTATTGCTTTTGGAGCGCAGTCGATCATCATCGTCATCATCATCATCGCTCAAATAATCATCACCGGCAGCTTCGTGGCAGGGAGAGAAATGGCGATAATGACGAACGAAGCGGGATTTTGATGCCGCCAAGTTGATTTCTTTCGCTCGCCCGATGGACCCCGGTCACGTTAACTTGATTAATAAGTTTGGCGGTATTACAAAATACCCAAAAACTGAGAAACTGCTTATGAAATCCCCACAAGACTGTTGGCCGTGTCTCTGTCTAATTGAATTACGACTCCATGTTGCACACGGGCAGCTGCTCAATTTTTAAGGCAAAGAACGCTAATTAATTTTGTAACCATATTATATATGGTTAAATTGTCACCCCTAAGAATTTCCATACGCCGTTACAACTTATAAAAGCATTTATTTATGTTCAGGAAAAAAAGTTTGTACCAAAAATTTGGACACCAGCGATGAAAGTTTAGATGTTACCCATCATTGGAAATGTTCCCTTAAGTGCATAATTAATATTAATGGTATCACCTTTTGCCATCACTTGATTTCACTTTAAGAAAACTCATAATAATAGACATAGAATAATAGAAACAGAATTGATAATCACAAGAAACGAAAGCGGACTTTTGAAAAATGGTCTGTGTCAGATAAGAAGTTAAACACAATTAAATGTGCAAGAAACGTGTCTTATAAACAATAACATTAATATTTGGTTTATTTGACCGTTGCTTCTCATTACGAATTCAATTTTCACCTCCCCTTTTAAAACAGTCAATTGCATTATGATTATTTAAATAATATTGAAAAATATGTGAATTTCCTTTAAGATAGAGTTACGAAATATGAAAGTTTGAAATTGTTATACAGACAAACCTAAATAAAAAATTAGTTATAAATTTTATGTTTTTAAAATATTGTAAATATTGCAAAAAAAATTTTAGTTTCAAAGTAGAGTTTTTTTTTAATTTTGTTGTTTCTAGAGCATAAGTGCCGAAATAAAGATCTTTGAAATTTGTTCATATTTTTGGGCTATATTTATTTTCGTATATTTTTTAATTTTAGCTTTTTTTTTTGTCCTGGTGAAATATCAAAGTATGCCAGCAGCTTGCGGAGCCAAGGGTGGTGCGCAAACCCAATAAATTCCGATATAGAATAACCTAAATCATCTAAAAATGTGTGGCCTAGTTTGCTTTCGATTTCCAATTGTAGCAAGATACGCACTGGTCACCCTGTTACCCTTCGCACGGTCTGGCGACCCATTTTTATGGCCATTGCATGAGCTGGCCAACGCAAATTGCTACTAAACGTCTTCATTGCTCATCTTTTGGGCGGGGTAACTTTCGCTTTTTCGGCTGACACGCTCGCCAGCCGGCTAATGGAGTTGTTTGGGTAGACAGAGAACCGTGCGAAGTGGAGTAGGAACCAGGTGTGGGCCAGGAACAAGCCCGCAGCACTTCAACCACTTCTAATCTGTATAATTTGGACGAGAGCCGCCGAGTTGAGTGAACCAAAGGCCAAGTTGTTGGTGGAACGGGCGGCAGCCAAGCGCATCCCACGGCTGCCCGACCAACTGACCGTTGAAAATTGGAAAAATTGCAACGGCCAGTGAAGAAGAAAATTGCACGGCCAAGGCAAAAAGCAGAGAAACGCGAACTGAAAGCATTTTTCTTTCTTTCCAGAAGCACCATTGTTTTAATTTACAATTGTGACAATTCGGCCGGGGATGCTTGACTGCCTCCGTTTTTCCCCCTGGGAAAGTGCCCCGTGGAAATGGGAGCTATAAAATATGACCATGCAATTGTCAAGGCTTTTAGTTGAACTTCAAGCGTTTTGGCAACATGTTCCGCATTTTCCCGCTGCTCTGTCTGCTGCTCTTTTCGACTGTCCGTTCGGAAAACTGCGACCAGGATGCGGGTGCCACATTATATTGTCGCGGGGAGCGGGCTCTGCGGAATGTCCTGCGGAATTTGAATCGGAACGACAGGCCTCTTGTGGTAGTCAAGGGTCTTGAGATAGTTCCGCTCCAGAACAACTCACTCGTCGAGGACGAGCAGGAACAGGACCAAAGCCTGCTGGATAGTCTCTCCTTCTATCTGCGTACCCACGAGGTCAATGTAAAGCTGGCCGATCTTCTGGAGGATGAAGCTCAAGTCTCAGGTGAGTGGAATTCAAAATCAAGTGCTGTAGGAAAAAAAGGAAATTAAGTTAAATTAAATTGATCGGGTTTCCAAAGGATGTATTTAAACTATAGTAGCAGATATAATTTTTTTTTGCGTTTTATTTATTTGCATTTTTTTAATATTAATTTTATGTCCCCTTCTTATAATCTTAATCATAGATAGATTGCTTATAATTTAAGTATTATTTAATTATTAAAACATACATAACGTATTTAATTAATAAAACATTTTGAACAACTAAATTTTAATGAAACTCATTTGGTTTTAACGGTTATTAAGTAATTCGCCATAATTATTTGTATTCCAAATGTTTTTATTAATTTAAATAAAATATAAAAAATTTATATTAAATTAAATTTTAAACATGAATTGTAATTTTTCGCCTACAAATCATTAAGGGCCATTTGACCAAGAAAAACAGTGTTGATACTGAAAATCAGCTTGGCAAGCAACGTTGCAGAATTAACATCATAAATGTGTTTTTAATTGCCTTTGTAATCAATTTTTCATAGACGAATTTTAATTTTTGCATTATTTTATATTAGAAAAACAGGATCCCTTCTAATAGCTAATTATTTTAAGGGTAGTTTAATATTTGGAATTGAAATGACTGTCGCAATGCTCTAAAATCAAACCCGCATTTGCCATTTCAATGCCAATAATTTGCATGAACCCAAAGGCAAATGGCCAAAAAACAAAATAACAAATACCGCTGCATAGACAGAAGTCACAAATGTATTTTTGATTGTTTCAGAGGCCCGCAAAAAGGACAAAGGCCAGGGCATGTTGTTGGCAATGGCCCTGATGTTTGGAAAGATGATGGCGGTGATGGGCCTGGGCGGGATCGCAGCCCTGGCCATGAAGGCGCTGGGCGTGTCCTTGGTGGCCCTAATGATGGCCGGGATGGTGGGCCTGAAGACAGCGGCCCAGAACGGCGGAGAGAGCAGTCACAGCATCTCGTATGTGACTGGCGAGGGACATCACCACAAGAGAAGGCGCCGGTCGTCCGGCCAACAACCCTTGGCCTACAGGGACTGGTACTGATGCTCTCTTTGTGTGTTTTGTTAGTTCTTATGTAGCACCTAAGTAATTTAATAATGTATCCATCATGCAACAGCTGCAAGTTGTTTTTATCCCCGCTGCAATCGAATCGAGTGCAGTGCCACTCGAGACGTTGCTGCGGCTCTGGGCAGTCGTGTTGCTGTTGCTGTTGCTGTTGATGTCGTGCTACGGCTGATGTTGCTGCTGCTGCCTCGGATGCCGCTCTTTGGTTTATGAAATCGGTGAAAGTTTATTTGAGTCGAGCTCGTATTGTGTAGCCATCAGCATCCGCAGCAGCAGAAGGCAACCTACACATGTTCGAAACGGTTGTATTTGTGGCTATACCCTGCCACTGAGTTATAAGCCTTTTTGGCATTAAAATGTTTTATTCCGGGGTTCATCCCTGGAAGGCAGTTGAAGTTTTCGAATAACTATACACAATAAAATTTATTTATTTAACCAATCCATTTTTAAGTCTTAGAGAGCTTAATCATTTTTAGATTGATTGGAATTCGGGGTCAATTTTTGTATATACAATTCATTAGTTTGAATTGACAAATAATTTATAAGAAATAAAGGTTACAATTTAAAACATTAAATTCTAGCAGTGTTTGCAGTGAAGAATATTTTTTCTTTGATGCCTAAATCAAGATATCTGACTTATGTAATCAAAATCACAGAATTTGGCAAAAGCAATTGGCAACAAGAAAAATAAAATCAGCAATGAAACTCAAAGTCAGCACTTTTCCACTTTTTTTTGCTTTCCAAAAATAAATTTTGGACTTTAATGAATTTGGTAAAAAGTGAAGTCACAAAAGATTTATTTTAAAATTCCTTATTTTTCAAATGTTTTATTCTCTTTGCATGAAAGAGCATCTTAGTTCGCATTCGCCCTATTTGAAACCCCGCATTTCCTCCTCCTTGTGCATGGTGTCGTCATTTGTCAGCCCGCTTTCGTGCAGTGTTATCGATGAAGTCGCCAGATACCGGATATCAGAGTTCCGAAGCTCTTCTGCGGGTTCTCTGCTGATCTGCGCTTCAGATGGCGACCGAACTCTTATTTTCCGTGGAATCTGGTACACGACCACTGGCGCAGTGGAGCTGGGCAGCACTCCGATTGAATTTGCATAATGCGTGGCCAACTTTCACTGTATTTTGGCAGCGCCAACGGTTCTTTCCGACCACCTAAAGCGCCGCGGGCAACAGTAACACAAATTACAGCCATGACAGACCCCGAAAAAACAAGATGTGCGTTCTGTTACACAATACCATTAAAGCCGCAGCACTTGAACGGCCAAAACCCGTTAAGCGGCCGGCAGGGACACGGCCACCACTACACCACTACACCTTTTGGCCAAGAGCAACTTGCTCTACCTCTTTCCCCGGTTTTCCGAACCTTGTACCGCCGCCTAATTGCTCTGTCTACTGGTGGTCGCTTCTTGTGCCGCTGCGCTGCTTCTTTTGTTGAATCGCTCTTCTGCTAACTTTCCCTTTTCAACGGCATTTTACGAGCGCGTCTGCCGGCCGTAATTAAATTATAAAATAAGTTCATAAAGGCAAATTTGTTGTTTTACAATTCGTATATGATCTGCTGCTTTATATAAGCGCACACTTGCCCTGGAATTGATTTTCTAAACGGTGCGCTTTGATTTTTACAGGACGGTTGACAATAAAAGCTGCCGGCTTTATGGGTTTATGAGCACGACGACGACGATGATGATGAGATGGCTGCCAAGACGTGTGTGAATGCTGGAGCTCCAGTCCAGTGCATAAATGAAAGTTCATAAAGAAATTAGCTGATTAATCGTCGTTCGATGAGCTTGGAAAATGACCAGGCCGGCCAAGCCCGGCTGGATGACTGACTGAAAGTGTCACGCAGCCTACATTTGAGCCGCTGCCTCGAAAATTTCACTTTTCAATGATGCTGCGCGCCCGTCCTCCGTTTCACATGTAAATTAATATTTAACCCAAATACCGCAAATTCTTTATTCGAAATGCTGGCCGTATCGGTTACTGCCGCCCGGTGGAGTCTGTATACATAATCCCCTTTCCGGTATTATTATGCAAATTTCGTATTAATTCAAATGGCCGTAAAAGGGAAAATGTGTTCTATTAACTTGACATTTTTATGGTTTTGTGAAATCTCTCGTCCGCTCCGCTTTATTTTTAGGGTGTGTGTTTCTTGGGCTAACTTTACTTTTACTTATTAAAATATGCAGCAGCGATGCTAATCGGAAGCAAAGTAAAGGAAAGTAATTAATGTGTTCGGGCTGGGGTTCAATTAATAAGTCCTTCCTTTAACCCAATCATTGCTTTCCGGCTTATGCAAAATAAATTGCATCATCGCTTTTCACTTTCCTTGATTCCTGGGCACCATTCGGCAATTTGAATGCAAATATTTGCCATATATATACACACACATTTATCTGTTGCCATGGCTGCTGTGCTGTGCTGTGTGTAAATGGCTCACTTCTGACCGCGACTTTCACCGAAACATTTTTGTTATTTATTCATTAAAATTTTGCCGCTGATGTTGCCCTGCGATGCCTCCGCGGATGCTTCTGCTGTTGTCCATTCTGCTTTTTGCTGCCGTTCAATAAAACCTGAAACATACCTACATGGCGTACACGAAATTCTTTTTGCATGACCGTGGCAAAAAGATGAAAAAAGAAACAAAATTAAATGTAAAGTCAACACGAAATTTTTTAGCTTCGCAGTGCAAACACACCCACAAAGTGGCAATTGATTGGCAAAATACGAGCCGGGTGAAAAAGATGTCAGCAAACAATGTGAAATTGTGCTACCAATTGGTCGAAACTTTTCTGTCGATTCGGTACGGTACATTAAGTGCCCCGTTAAGATATCAAGCTCGGCGATCGCCAGAATTCCGTAATGCACGCCCTCGATGCTTTCGTCGCTTATGCAAATTGGCCAGAAAATAAAAGGAAAAAAACTTTCACGGCTAAACCATTGGCTTTAATTTAATTCAAACGGCTAGAAAAAGGGCCTCTCCGCCGATAAATAATACAGTAAAATGGCCTCTGTGTGGGACACAACGGCCATCATCGTCGCCGCTCGTTCCACTAATGAGTCTCAGGCCCAAATTGATGTCAAGCAAAATGAAAGTGAGAACACGATGAAATCTCCGCCGGGCCCAAAATAATCATCAACTCGGACGAGCGCTCGGATCTTCGATCTGCTGATTGAAGCCCACTCAGCCATTGGCCTAATAAGTAGTGTAATTATTGAGATTTTCTACGCGATGGTATTTGACTAGCTTTTTGGAGGCTTGTGACCAACTTTCTTAAGACATTAAGGTTTTTTTGTGGGTAAATACATAATTTGACCAGGTGAAAATGCAAGTATATGCCGGAGGTAAAATCTTTGTTAACCTAAGAAACATTACACGTTTCTACCAATGCGCTATTAATAGGGCATACATGGGCAATCACGCGATAAAAAAATAAAAATCTGTGAAATTAAATTTAAACATTTAAACTATTTACTCTTGAATAAACTTTGCTTATCCAAAATTCATAAAACATGATATTTTAATAAGACGATAACCGATTTTTAATATTAAATGCATAAAATGGAATTAATAAAATCAAGTAAAATAATAAAATTTTTGTTGCATATAAAGTCATTGCTAAAGATAAAATAAAGACATTCCTATTGGGATTTGAGCTGTTCAAAATGTCAAAGGATCTTAAAATGCACATTCGGTATAACAAATCCCTTTGTGAACCATACAAAATATGCAGTTGACTTCACATCCTTGTGACGTAAAGTTCTTAAGCTGACCTTTGTTTTTGCATATGCGCTACCATAGGGCTTAAGCAAAATATTTTTAAATCCTCGTTTTGTAGGAGGATTAAGAGGAATATATATTGCCGTTTTTAAGAAACAAAGGGTTTATAAATTTACTTGTATGTGTGAGAGCAAGATAGTCACTTTTCTTTTTAAGTTGGTTGCTTAGATATCCTTTATTTTTGGGAAATGAAAACAATAATTGACGGGAAATTTAAATACTGTGAAAGACAAAAACTGTGTATTTTTATGGCACAAGTGTTTACGTCCATTGGGTCAGTTGCTGATGTAATATGCCAGCAGCACAAGTTATACATTGTTTTTCTTTTTTCGAGACACTTGTCGATTTGTTTACCCTGCTCTGTGGCAGCCATAAACAATAACAGCACCACCCCAAACACAGCAGCAACATTAGCAACAGCGACAGCAGCAACATGAGCAACAGCAACAGCAACTACATGCCAGGTCCAACTACGAGCGAAATTCATTCATAAAAAGCACACACATTGGACACTTGGACGGCTGCTTTTCGCATGAATGGCCAAGCCTGTTGGCCATGCTCTTGGCCATTGGCCGTTGGCCGTCTGAAGTTGGTCGTTTGGTAGTTGGTAGTTTGGAAGTTGGCACATGCCAACTGACAAATGGAGGCGTTCACACTCGGCGCGTGAACCGACATAAGTTCGGCTGTTAAGACGGATGTGCAGCGGCATTGGCATTTACGTGTTTTTTGCTGCTCTGAACCCATTTGCATCCGAATGTATGCCGATTTTTAGCGGCAGGGGCCGAAGAAAACCTTAAGCGGAAGTCCAGCTTAAAGATCGCATCGGTTGTTTTGATTTTCTCCTTTGGGAGGCTGCACCCATTTTTCTGTTGATGTTGCGTTACGAAATGCTTCACACTTTTACCGCTGCACGCCTATATCGATTGACGTCACACGGCCAACTGAAAGCTGATTTAATTGTGGTAGCAAATTACACATACGCCCCATCGCCCATCAACAATTTGGCACCCATTATGCGGATGATTCAGGGGTTTCGTAAGCTCCACCGCAGCAGATCCGTATGATAGTGTCGGATGTCGTCAGTCACAGACATTCACCTTGAAACGGGAGCTCGGATCTTTCCAAGAAAGCAACCATCCATCCAAACACACCGAAAGAAAATTATCTAATATTATCTAATTTTTTATCGATAGTTTCATATCCAATTTTTTTGTAGTAAAATCTTAAATGAAAGCTATTTGTTTTACGAAAATCATTATAGATTATATTAAAATGTTATTATTTAAAAAAGGCTCTTTGATGATACTACAAACATCAGTTTGGCTTTAAAATCAACAGAATAGTTTAAAATATCTTTTTTTTTTGGTATATGTGTTTAATATATTTATACACAAAATATGTTTTACTTTAAAGTTCTATTTTCTTTTCTTTTATTTGTTCAAGAATTGTTATATAAAATATTATTTACTATTTTACTTACATTTCTGTAAAAACTAGACCAATAATTTTAAAAAATCATTAAAAAAACTGAATGTCAGTTAGGATATTTATAAACACAATTGAAAGCAAATCCATATAATGGTTATATTAATATCTATAATCTTTTTCTCTTACTTAAATGAATCAATTCAATTGTTGATAAAAATTTTAGCTATAAGTGATGCTTAAAGTGTGATGTTGACTTGTTAAAAGCGGGAGCCTTGCCGAAATTATAGCATGCTTAGCTCATATTTTCTGTCAGTGCACTAGTCCATCAGCGAGTATCTCGCATCTTGCGCGCATCCGTTTTTGTTAGCTTTTCGTGTAATTTCTCTTTCATTTCACTTGAGCAATTGAAGCGCGCTGTTATTTGCACTTTTGCTAAGCTCAAATTGTTGACTAATGTGTCACAATTGCCGAGTCAGGCCGTTTCTTATGATTATGCCCGGAGAGGTGTTTTCACCTGTGTACTCGAACTACCCAACGAAAAGACCCGAACAGGACGTGCCTATCGGGCGGTAGATCCTGCCCTTTGCTATCCTATTTTTCCAGCCCAGTAGTCCTTACATAACTGTCATTATAAATCACACTTTATGTTGCGTAATAAAAACAGACCAGCAATAAAGTCACGAAAATGAAAAGTAATTTCAAGGCGCGCACATGCGGTAAACAAAACTATTTTCATGGAAACGGAGAGGGTAGGGGGTCTTAAACGAAGATGACATACAGACCAGGGGCCAGAAATAACAGTAGTATGAAAATATCATACACACAACTTTCATTTCTTGCGGCAAAGTGCCCGAAAAACAAAAGCGTTCAAAAAATTAACAAAACAACAGAAGAATATATGACACACATATGGTGGGGGGAGGGCAGTCTAGGGGGCCACGCAGGGGTTAAGGGACGGCGAGGTGTGTGGAGGGTTAAGCTGCGCAGCACCTGTTTATCACCTCATGTGTTGTAATCTGTGAGGCTCCAGAAGCAACTATATCTCTTTGTCTGCGTGTGTCTTTAGACGAGGAGATGAGCATAAGACTCTGCGGGAAGACGCGTCTTCTGGGGTCTCTCCCTGTGTGAGTGTGTGTGTGTGTGCGTGTGAGGTGGGGGAGAGAGGACAGACAACCTTGGCTCTGGCTCTCCGCTGGAAACTTTCTCGCGCTCTCACACACAAGAGCCCTGCTGCCTGCTGCCTGCTGCCTGCGCCGACGCGACGCCGACCGAAGACGCGTCTTCGCTTGCGCATGCGCTGCGACTTTCTTTAATGCGGAAGCGGACAAAAGCCGCTGCCTGCGCTTGCCTAATGCGTCTTCTAAGCTTGGAAGCTGCCGAGAAAGAGAGGAAGAGATGGAGATAGGGAGAAATGGAGAGCCCCGGCGAGAAAGAGAGGGCTGCCCGTCTGCGCAGAGCGGCAGAAAGAGCGCGCAGACACGTGTGGAAGAGGGCTCTTCGGCGACCCTAGCTGTATGTGTGGGCTCTGGCACGGCACTGGCGCTTTTTACATAATTTTACGTTATGCCGCTGCAGAGGCGACCGCTACGTTGGAAACTCTTTAAAAACAGCCTGACAGCGGCGAAAAGTTATCAAACCGCAGCTTGTTCCATTCGAATGAACACACCAGTGATTTCGGTGGTGCCCAAGGAATTCAGTCTCAGAAATCACCAATCCACTAACCCAGCCACCAGCATGAAGTTCTTCGTTGCCACCGCCTGCATCCTGCTCCTGGCAGCAGGCATCTCCGCCGATCCCGTCAAGGCCGCTTCCGAGGAGCAGTCCGGGGCCTTCGCCAAGTGCCTCGAGACCGACTCCATCTCGTGCCTGCAGCTCACGGTACGGATTAACTAGACCTCAAGGATTACACACCCCGATTTACAAAAAAAAAGAAAAAAAAACAATCCCAAGCAAGAACATTTGCAAAAGTGGCTAACCAGTGAAAGTGAAACCAATAATCACATTGACCAGTTATCAAGTGCCAAGCCCTTGTTATCCAAAGGATAATACTAAAGTGAAAGTGCCAAAGTTTGTTTTCACGACTTCCTGTCGAGCTAAAAGTATTTAATAGTCTGAAACGTTAAATATTTAAACCATTTCATAATTACCAGATAAATAGAAAATATCTGACAGGAAGATGTGAAAAGCAGCTTTTACACTCATACCTAAGATACTTAGTGCCTGTAACATTTGCAAGCTGCGCTCAGCACTTTATCTTAACGGTTTCTGGTTGTCAACAAGCCATAACAAACTCTTGTGTCTTAAAGGGATAAAAATTGATTTTCCTCACCTTAAGTGATCATTTCAACTTGATTGTCAACAGCTACTTCTAAGCTGATTTCATTTATTGGATCTACACCTACTACTTCATTTGCTAGCCAATTTACTTTTTCCACTTGTCAAGAGACCAATAAGAAGGACCCTCCATCAGACATTGACTTTAATAACTTTAGCTGAACTTCCCCACCTTAACCTTAACCCGCTAATTCGCATCACTTCTTCCTACTCCACAGCTCTTCCGCAAGGCCAAGTCTGTCTTCGATAACCCCCAGATCGAGATCTTCGGCGGCGTTTCCCTGGTGAAGGCCAACGAAGGACGTCAGGGCAAGTCCCTGGACAACTCCCTCGCCGTTGAGGCCGCTCCCAGCGTGGAGGCCCGCACCGCCGAGATGGGCAACTACTTCATGGACAACGCCAAGAGCTTCTTCGCCGAGCGCTCCCTGAACTTCAACTTCGCCAACGCCGCTCGCAGCGTGGCCCGCGCCATTCCCGATGACATCAAGGCCGATCTCCGCGAGCTGGTCGTTGAGTCCCGTACCCGCAAGAAGAAGCTGCTGAAGAAGTTCCTGCCCATCCTGCTGGGAGTCGGTGCCAAGATCGCTGTCCTGGGCGTTGGCTCCATCTTCGGCCTGCTCTTCCTGGCCAAGAAGGCTTTGGTTGTGTCAGTGATCGCCTTCTTCCTGGCTCTGGCCGCTGGTGCCTCCAGCGGATTGGGTCGCATCGGTGGTTCCGGAGGCGGCGGCGGTCTGCTCGGCGGTCTGGGCGGTCTGTTCGGCGGCAAGAACTCCGGCGGATCGTCGGCTGCCAGCACCGGTGGATGGTCCTCGGGCGGTGGCTCCTCCAACGCCGGCTGGTCCTCGGGCAGCAGCTCCGGCTGGGACACCCATGGAGCCTACAGCTCGCCCGTGGCCCAGACCATCGCCTACCAGGGCTACAAGCAGGCCCGCCGGTAAACCATTGGCCACGAGCTAATTCAACCGAAGGACGAAGGCCAAGGAGAGAGAGAAATCAATCGCTAAAAATGATGACCTATATTTATATTTATTTATAAATTATTTATTTTAATTTATTACTTGAACGAGAACGAGTACGAGACGAACAAAAGTGCCTTCCATTAGACAAAAAAAAAACAACAATCACTAAATAACAAGACACTCCCAAACACACCACCTTTCATCAACGACCGCCAATAACCTCCACCAAGGAATCTTCACTACTTTCCACACTCCTCTACACTCTCCACACTATATCTTAATTTCATGGCTGCACCTTTGATTTATGGACTGCAAATGTTTGCCACTAGTCGCTTCCATCAGTCAAAGCCAGTCGCCTCGCCCATTTAACTGTATCTATCCCTCATCTATTTTCATCTATCTCTATGCTATGTCTACCTCTATCTGTACCTGTACCTCTACCATCTATCTATCTATCTGTCTATCTATCTATCTATCTATCTGTCGATCTATCTATCTATCTGTCTATCTATATCTGTCTGTCTATCTGGGCTTTCCCACTTTACCGCCCGGGAAAACCCAACCAAATGCTGCTAAATCAAAGAATCAAATAATAATTCAAACATGAAAAATACTTAACAACCACGACTCTCTTTTCTCATCTGCGCACAATTTCCCTTTCGATTTGCATACGCAACTCGGCTCAACAGCCCTCGACCGCATCACTCATACGCCGCGTTGTCTGGCCAAGCAATTTGCATCTGCCTGGCGCAACTTTCATTTCACTTCTGCCCAGCTCATTCTTTCTGCTATCAGCCCCAAAAAATCGAACTCTTTAAGTGTTTTCTAAAATTTCACCCACTTGTTTCACATCCACTGCTTCTGGGTAATCTCCATTTTCACTGCACTTTCTTCTGCCGTCTGCCAGAATAACAATAACGAACAAAGGCAATTTGCTAAAAATAAAACAAACATTTAGCTACGCGCATTTCGGCTCATTCAAGGCGGGGCCGCACTGTATTGTACTTTAATACTTCCCCACCTGCCAGAGGCCCATTGTTGAGCGACGCTTAGCACCTTTTGGCCCAAAGAAAGTTGTAAGCGCCGTCGAAATGGGCCCGGCTCAATTGAGCCTAAGTAACTGAACACTGCAGTTGCCGGTTGGCAAAACGGCGCTTTACAGCCGCTGATGAGTGCTTTACTTATGAATATGACCCAGTTCGCCGGGCCCAAGTCAGTCGATTTGGAAGCTAACTCTTGGCTCTTTGCCGTTGGATGCTGTGCCCATTGACTGACTCTTGGCTTTCTTCGGGCACTAATACGTCAGCAATTAATGTGTCGCCGACTGTCTTTTAAGCACTTTTCTATGCTCATTGGGGCCGGTTGTTCGGCGAGTTGTTGTTTGATTTGTTAGCATCCGAAGTTCTGCGTCTGCCGCCGTTTATAACTCTACTTCGAGTCAAAATCGTGGGCTCGCGCACTCGCACACATCTCTGTTCACTCTTCTTTTTAGGTTGTTTGCTAAGTGAAATTTCTAAGTAGTTTCCCATTGACGGTGTCACGCTTTAAATCAATAGCTATTGTCCAGACGCACTCTTATGAACCCGCCAAGTCATTCCCAATGACGGAGGGGACAGTCAAAACTGACATTTCAGAGACAGCGAAAACATAGTCATTCCCGAACACAATCGTGTCACAAATGAGCTGCTGCTTAGAAAAAGGGAAAGTGCCTGGAGTTTCTAAGGGAGACCATACAGAAAATGAAACCACTGATCAGGGATTTGTCATATTAATCAATTTAATTCTGAGGTTAATTTTTTCATTTCTTAGTTGTCAAGCTCTTTGGTTTTTTGGGTACTTAACCATCAGCAGAATTTTGAATTTATTGTTATTTTAATATCTTTTTTTCTACTTCATTTGTCTTATTTGTCCTATTTCAAAAAATGTTTAACCTTTCTTTGTAAAGGACGTCTTACATGTTTTACATGACATGTTAAAAAAAGACGGAACCCAAATTTTAAAAAACTGTGCCACTTACGGAATGATCTACTTGAAATTCTATTTACTAACTTTGTTAATAAATCACTGCAACGCGGTGAAGCAGACATTTCCGACCCTATAGAGTATATATATATTCTTGATCAACATCACCAGGAGAGTCGATCTAGCCATGTCCTTCCGTCCGCCCGATTCTACGCAAACTAGTCCACAGTTTTAAAGCTATCTGCTTGAAACTTTCCTAAAAGTTGTCTTTCAATTGCAGTTAAAACAAGAGAGAACGCTATAGTCGGGTGCCCCGACTATCAGATACCCGTTACTCAGGTAAAGGGAGTGCGAGGGAGATGGAGATAGAAACTTTGATCACGCATAACTTTTGAACGAATGGTCCGATTTGAAAAATTTCTTCTACATTTCGATAGGTATTGATAAACACAATAAAACTGCATTTTTACTTTTCCAAAATATTTAAATTTTTAAAATCGTATATAAGCGATTGTGGGCGTTAAAGGGGGCGTGGCACCTTTTTGAAACAAACTTGCGCTGCGTAGGAACTCCTAGAATCTGCATGCAAAATGTCAATCTTCTAGCTTTTATAGTTTCCGAGATCTCAGCGTTCATACGGACAGACAGACGGACAGACAGACGGACAGACGGACATGGCTAGATCGACTCGGCTAGTGATCCTGATCAAGAATATATATACTTTATAGGGTCGGAAACGCTTCCTTCTAGCTGTTACATACTTTTGCACGAATACAATATACCCTTTTACTCTACGAGTAACGGGTATAAAAAAAGTCGGAACGACTATATCATACTATATAGCTCCCATAGTAACAATCGGAAAAAATTTTTTTTTAATTATAACTTTGTTATTTTTAATTTTTTGTTTGCTCTTTGTGATATTTATGGAACTACTATGGAATTTCGGTTTTTATTAAAATAAGATCGGACATCTATATCATATAGTTCCCATAGGAAAATCGAAAAATGAAAAAAATAAGATAAAATAATTATTTTATTTTTCTGTTTTTTGTTTATTAAATTATTCCTTTAAGATATAGTAATTATTTATTTTAAATCCAGCCCAAAATCGACATAGCTTCATTGTTTTTAGTAATAAAGGCATAGAAATTTTCCTCTTTTCAAAAAAGGTAACAAGTTAGAAGCCAGTAACTACAGAGGTATTTCTAAGTTGTCAGCTATTCCTAAGCCAGAGGAGTGCTTGGATTTATTAAAAGGTGGTCAAAAGAATTCGATGATCCTTATTTGACTAAAACTTTATTTATTTCGCTAGTCCGTCCGATTCTGGAGTATAGGTCTCCCGTCTGGAGTCCACAATACGGAATACATATTGGTCGTATTGAATCTGTACAAAAAAACGTCCTTCTTTTTGCTTTACGGCGCCTAAACTGGGATGCAAATCTTATCTTACCTTCTTATTCTAGTAGACTTCTTTTGATTAATTTACCATCCCTAGCCAACCGTAGAACGATGCTTGGTACTATCTTTATTTATAACCTTATACATGGTGATATTGACTGCCCCGACTTGTTAAGTCGGCTAAACTTTTCTGTGCCAAGTAGATTAACTAGAAATTATATTCCCCTAATTTTAAATCATTGTAGATCTAACTATGCCTTGCATGAGCCTTTCAGAGTATTATGTTCTGACTATAATAGACTTTTTCCTGTAATATCAAATCTTGACTCTCTGCCGCTCCTAAAACGATTAATACTTGCTTCATTGGCACAAGATTGATCTAACTATTACTTTTTTCCCCGGACCTTTACCTTTATTTTCCTATCTCGCGTCTATCCTATCGCGAATCGTGCCGTACGATACACGGCTGCGCCCCTCGGTCGGTTGGGCGGGTAAGTGGGCCGTGGGACTCCGCGCGAAAAAAAAAAAAAAAAAAAAAAAATCGAAATGCTTTGTAATAAGTGCAAGGGTATACATATAAACTACGGCTTGCTGAATAATTATTGTGAATAATTACAAGCATTTCTCTGCCACGTCTCTACAGAATTTCATTATTATTGGGAGTTAGAGTGTGCCTGGCCTAAATAGCTTCAGTTATCTAGCTTTTAAAGTTTTCGAATTCCGGCTCTGTCGGGCAGCTAGAACGACTTATCTAGATCGACTCGGACCTAGTAGGACATTCATAAATCTATGTATGTCGATTTTTATACCCTTGCAGAGGGTATTATAATTTTGGTCAAAAGTGTGCAACGCAGTGAAGGAGACATCTCCGACCCTATAAAGTATATATATTCTTGATCAGGATCACCTCCTGAGTTGATATAGCCATGTCCCTCTGTCCGTCTGTCCGTATGTCTGTTTCTACGGAAACTAGTCTCTCAGTTTTAAAGCTATCGAGTTGAAACTTTGCACACACCCTTCTTTCCTTTGCACGCAGTATATATGTCGGAACGGCCGGGATCGGCCGACTATATCCTATGACTGCCATATAACTGATTGATCGGAATTGCCATAACTTTGGTGTTTGTAAAGTTAGGGAGCTGGGATTTCCTATGGGTTTTATATTTGGCCAATCAATCCGACCTACCAAATTTCATAAGGATCGGCCGACTATATCCTATAGCTGCCATATAACTGATTGATCGGAAATGCCATAACTTTGGTGTTTGCAAAGCTAGGAAGCTGGGATTTCCTATGGGTTTTATATTTGACCAATCATTTCGACCTATCAAATTTCATATGGATCGGCCGACTATATCCTGTAGCTGCCATATAACTGAACGATTGGAAATGCCATAACTTTGGTGTTTTTATACCCTTGCAGAGGGTATTATAATTTTGGTCAAAAGTGTGCAACGCAGTGAAGGAGACATCTCCGACCCTATAAAGTATATATATTCTTGATCAGGATCACCTCCTGAGTTGATATAGCCATGTCCGTCTGTCCGTCTGTCTGTCCGTCTGTCTGTCCGTCTGTCTGTCCGTCTGTCCGTCTGTCTGTTTCTACGCAAACTAGTCTCTCAGTTTTAAAGCTATCGAACTGAAACTTTGCAACGCAGTGAAGGAGACATCTCCGACCCTATAAAGTATATATATTCTTGATCAGGATCACCTCCTGAGTTGATATAGCCATGTCCGTCTGTCCGTCTGTCTGTCCGTCTGTCTGTCCGTCTGTCTGTCCGTCTGTCTGTTTCTACGCAAACTAGTCTCTCAGTTTTAAAGCTGTCGAACTGAAACTTTGCACACACCCTTCTTTCCTTTGCACGCAGTATATAAGTCGGAACGGACGGGATCGGCCGACTATATCCTATAGCTGCCATATAACTGATTGATCGGAAATGCCATAACTTTGGTGTTTGTAAAGTTAGGAAGCTGGGACTTCCTATGGGTTTTATATTTGGCCAATCAATCCGACCTACCAAATTTCATAAGGATCGGCCGACTATATCCTTTAGCTGCCATATAACTGATTGATCGGAAATGTCATAACTTTGGTGTTTGTTAAGTTAGGAAGTTGGGATTTTCTATGGGCTTTATTTTTGGCCAATCAATCCGACCTATCAAATTTCATAAGGATCGGCCGACTATATCCTATAGCTGCTATATAACTGAACGATTGGAAATGCCATAACTTTGGTGTTTTTAAAGTAA